CTATACATCCATTTTCCTCAAACGCGCTTGGTTGCCAGTAGCTCGTGTCAGTCCCGTGACTTCGTGCTTCGTGCATCGGAAGAAAAACATACTTTCTACCCGCATTGTGGGAAATTCCACGCCGATGGCGAGAATGAAAGCTACGGCATACGACATGACTATCACAGCAACATAATAAAATGTCTTAAAATAAAAAGTTTACGATTAGCTGACCCTTCAAGCTATTTTGGACGAAATTTTGATTGCGGTTTGGTTTAAATCTTGTATGTTTTTAACCAAAAGAAATGCATAAAGTGAATTGTATTAATTCTAATTCCAATTACCTAATCGATTAAAGAAATACCTAAAGTGAATGATATTGATTTAATTCTAATTATCCCAGTAGTGGATACTAACAAACAAAATCATCGACTCACTGATTTTGTAGAAAGTCGCATCAATAATTCAACCGTATTCCACATCCCACCAATTAGTTTGAAACAGGTGGTTAAAGATCTTAAGAACATTCCTGATAATAAAGCCAAAGGACTTGATGGAATCGGAATTAAACCCTGAACTCATTTCCAGACCCTTCATATATTCTCAAATTCATTTGATTATTACTAAAGTGACTTAAACTGCGCTACCTTTCTGATGACTGGAAAACATGTGAGACACTTACTTCCATAACCCTTGTTACACGCATAGATAACCCAAGCTAGGGTCAGACCCCAAACAAAGCGACTGAAGGTGCCGTAAATTATATTCTCAGCCTTGATGAGAGGCCGGCCGTCTTCTTTTTAAAATGTATACACACCGTATACATCTGAAACACCCAGTGCAATACTGAGAAACCAACCGACAAGACATTCTACCTGTCTTGGTATCTTGCTCTGAAAACATGACAAAACAAAATGAGATAATTTGAAAGCAGCAGTTAAATTATTTTCTTGTTTTATAAGATTTTAGTGTCGAAACTAACCGGAAATGCCTAAGTTTTCTCTTATTTCGCTGTGATTGGTCCAAAGAACTCGAGTCACTTTCTCAACCAATCAGATCCAAAATGAAAACCAATAGCGATTTTGTCACTAACCGGTTCCCGCGCTTCAAGCAGTTTGCTTGTTTTTACATGAAGTTCTTATTGGCTCCTTTTGCAGCTCTCCTTTCTTCTGATTGGCTATTGTGATTAATTCAGTTCTGGTTCAACGGTAGTCAATCGAAATGCGCTCCATATGGTTCTAATAAATACATATGGGAAGTTCAGTCTTCTATGAGGTTTTTGTTATGGCTAGTATTTTAGGATTGTTCTTTACACCTTCTGCGTTGTCATCTGCAATGTAATTTCCTCCTCGACTCTGGATACTTACCAACGGATTTTTTCCCGGATTCTTTTTTTCAATATGAATCAGGTAGCCTTGGGCAATGCCCACGAGGTAAGTTGCGATCCGGCAATATGGCTTTACATAAACAAGGTCAGTATAGCTACCTCTGCCTGGCTCCTTTTTAAACCTAATAAGAATACCATAACAAATTTGTTAAACTATTTGCAACGTGACTGGAGAAGTCGAACAGAAATTACAGTCACGCTGTCACGAAAGAGATGAGCTCTTTTGATAATCAGGGACGTAACACGAAGGTGTGTGCGTGAAAGTGTGGGTAACCGCTACAGTTGTATTTCTGCCTCATCACAGACAGTGAGCGAGTACGTGAGGGCAAGATATCCGGGTATTCTGCTGCCACACGAGAACAAAGTACTTTTCATCATCAGGAAAGTAACAATTGATTATTCAAATTGTTAGTTTCAATGAACTGGTGGGGTGGGTGAGGTTCCGGCATGAACCATTTAAGCCATTCAGTCATTCATTCGATTTTTTTCTTCTGTTCATCATTTTCCTTAATTCATTGAACATTTTTGTCCCACGAACTTCATGAATATCTTCCTGACTTCTTTCTGTTATCCGGCCTTTTCTTCTGTCAAACACATCGGGGTTCTGATCAAAATGCAACGAACGCAGTTTACACGAAAGCCTGAAACCTTTCGTGTTCGTTACATGCCAGGTAGGCCAAGCAAGTCGAGTGGATAATTCTTTTGATTGTCTTTCGTAATTGAACTTTTGAGCAAAGGCTAGCACATCATATACATATCATAATTCTTTTAAGCAATAAAAACTCATGCAGATATCAAAAAACATGTTTTTGGTCCTGCAAGTCTTTCTTCAACATTTTCCTTATCAGGCAAATGGTATTTAATCTATTGAGCTTTTTGTTTGCATAAAGTTACTAGGTCTCTGCCGAGCCTTTTTTTACAAGACACCTTAGTAACACCATTTTTCCCCATCTCTCAGCAATCTTTTTGAATGATTAGAAACTACCAAAGAGCCACTACTGATGTGTACAGTAAGTCTTTGTCTTTGAGAAAAGGTCCCCATTGTATGGGTTTGATATCTAACATTGTGTTTAGTCAACTAGCAAATTAAGGCCAAGTTGTTTCCAAAATGGTAGAACTCATATTTGAAAATTAACGTTGGAAGATTTTTTAAAGTTTATATGTTTGTCTCTCATTGGAACTTGAAGCCGGGGTAAGTAAGAAGTATGTGTATACAAAAATTTTTAATGGCAACGATAAATTTTTCCTTGATTAGCTGTCCCTGGGTTCCAATTACCGATTCAAAACAATTGCTGTAAATTAGGATACAGTAGCTATCACAATTAAAATCCACACTCAATAGATTAAGTTTGTTATCTTTATCTAGAAAAGATAGCGAGAATTTTTTTTCTGCATCTCCTCATGTTAAAGCCCACATAAGATACACGAGGAATCACAACTCACTCGTGAAAATTTTGTTCAGCGTCAATAGCTCAGGAAAAGGCTCATTAACTTGTATTTCTATGGTTAAGTTTATCAAGGTTAAAAAAAGTTGTCCATAAAGGATGATTTTACTCTCTGGTGGAATTGAAAGTGAGGGATTTTTCTGCAGTTTTAAGCCATGAGAGCAACAGTCAAAAGTAAAGTTGTCTGTGTATGATAGCCTTTAGTTCGCGAGTTAAAAATTTTTCCAACATATTCCACAAGTGTATGAAGACCCGAAGTAATGATGTATAACTAACCTTTGGTAATGATGCCAACACCCAAGGCAATATCCTCCTCAGTACAGGCAGACGGAACACAAAGGCCCCAGGAGACATACTATTAAACCAGAAACAGAACATCATCACATACAGCAGCCACTCAACACAATATAAAGTTCTTCACATAGATACTATAGACTTCACTGGACAAGGAATTGAGATTGAATTTCATGTGGAGGTGGAAATTAACGACTTAATTTTCTCCTGGAGATTCTGCACTTTTTTCATATTGGCATCCTTAAGATTGTTTTGTTGTTTATTGCATTGATACTCCTAAATCCTCCTTAGGTAGAGAAGACAGGGGCCATTGAAGACGGGGGGCATTATTGGAAGGCAAGAATATCCTATAACTGTTTTTCAGATGGGGTAATGATAGGTACTGAGAAAATGAGACAACTCAAACTGACATAAAAGCTTTATCTTTGAGCCAACACCAAATTCTTGAAACTAATTTACAAGGAAATGTATAGAGGGGAGAATTGACAGTCAAATCTTGGGAATTTAACCCTTTAGCTCCCATGAGTAACCAAGCCAGAATTTCTCCTTATAATATAATGTCAAGCATACAAGAGATAAGAAAGTAGATAGTTATCACTAAGGGTACTTTCAGTTTATCTAATACCAAATTCTCTAAACTACAAGGAACATCATGAGAATTGCATGGTAGATAGTAAGGAAATTATTAATGAGATCCTGGGGGTGAAAGGGTTGTGGGTTAATCAGAACCCATAACACCATCAGAACAGACTTTATCCTTATTACTTGTAAACCTACCATACATAACAAGAGGTTGCTAAGAGAAATGATATTTGTCCTTATCTATCGCACAAACAAGTCGTTTGTATACTGGTATTTTTGTAACATTTCCTCCAGAATTTAATGTGAAAGTGACACCTGGGGCTAGGCAGTAGTGCGCTCCAGGTGTAGTCTTGCATCTTGCATAAGACCTAAGCCATACCAGGTTACCCAGAGTAAGACCACTGCTTGGTCTCCCTGTTGCATCAATATCTGACGATGAAGAACACATATCAGGCACTGTATCAGGTAAAATGTTCAGAGAAATGCGCACATCGTGGTTGATCAGAACGAGTTCATTAAATTTCCATAAAGTACCCGCCTTACATCACACGAGTGCACTATTGAAGATAATGCTCGCAGCCTACGTCATCGGTACGAGCGCGTCTAATTCACCAGACATTTTATAAAAGAAATAAAAAAACTTGTTCCTCGAGCATTGTTGAGTTATGTAAGCACTTGGGAATTTCAAAGAACACTTGAGAAGTGCGAGAAGCACTCGCCTTAGGCTCGTGCTTCTCCGCACTTCTCTCGTGTTCTTAAAAATTCCCACGTGCTTATATAACTTAACAATGCATTCGGCGTGTTTTTTATTTCTTTATTATAATTCACCCATTAATCTTTGCATATTACTACTGGCTATTTTGCATCGCGTGGTGTGTATACAAGGTAATGGCCGAATTTATACTAGAGACGAGTTACCCGTCAGAGACGAATCATCCGTCTCAGACGGATAACTCGTCTAAATATAAATTCGGTACTAAGACGAATTATGGAGCAAAATTCGTCTCAGGCTGATCCGTCTGTCAGCACGTCTTCAAGACGTGCTAACAGACGGATAGCTCGTCTTAGACGGATCATCCGTCTCTAAATTTTTATCTAGACGGAAAACGAAGACGGTTTTTGACGAAGTTCCCATATGAGAGAGACTGGTTTCTATAGTTTTGCAAGGTTTCCTGGGATGCCTATTTCAAGATGGCGTCCGGTAAAGTAATCGTGCCCTCGAAAGCAATCACAAAAAAGAAGGAGAAAGCAAACAAGAAGTTGACTTGGACAGATCAAGACACGGACGTCTTCGCAGAAGTTATATATGACCCACAATACAGAGGAAGTGATTACACCGTTGGTGTAATCACTTCCTCTTGTCTACCTATCTTGAGCAAGATTAGCGAGAGAAAAGGGTAACATGAAGTTCATTAAGCTATTTTCCGGCTCAAACATGCGCTTGACAGAGGATATTCTTCTCTGATATACCGCCATATCCAATGCTGTTCTTCTCGATTTCATCAACAAGGCTACGAGAGCCGCCATATTTAAGCTCTCGCCAGGCTTCCACTCGGCTCAAAACCGAGACACCCGTCGTGAAACTCGCGAACGATTTATATCTAGACAGATTATTCGTCAAAATTCGTCTTCGGATTTATACTTGGACGGATTATCCGTATGACGGATGATCCGTCTAGACGGATGATCCGTCTCTAGTATAAATCGGGCCAATAACCCCCACTTATATAAATGTTTGTCCTTCTATTATTTCTGTTGAAAAGAGAAAAATCGAGCAGAAAAAATATTAGTGTAAAAAGTCACCTTTCCATCTACCAGCCACCTGAAGGGGTTTACGACTGATTTTAAGAATTGATGTTTGTATTGCCTATTTTCTTGGAAGCACTAACTTGTCAAAAAAATATGATCGGGTACTGACTCCAGACTATGGGCTTAATAGCCCTGCCACTGCAAGGAAAGGCCAAAAGGGAATTTCTTCTTGTAGTTGCATTAATTGTCGAGCAGAAAGACAACGAGAAGAAAGTAAACTATTAACTAGGAGGATAGTGTTCGATTTGATACCACATTCTCTGAGTTGGAATTACAAGAAATGCACGGCAATTGGTGGGGAGAGTTTGATATTATAAATTGGGATTAAACTGGACAAATCATGATCGTATGCCAGCACCAAGGTCACTGTGCTGTGTTTTTTGTATTAGCTAAATATCAATTTAGACTAAAAAGACTCGATTTTTTCGCTGGAAGCTTCGAAAAGTCTTCAAAGAGTCTAAACTGTGTCGGGAAAAAGTTACAAAGCTCAATCAACTCTGTAATACGATACCAAAGAGTTTACCAAACTATGTCACGTTTGTGCTTTCCACAAGAATGAAACCACTTGTTAAAAATATGGACGACAATGAAGTAAAACGTGACCTTTGAATCAAGGTGGCACTTATCATAGGTTATCACGTTTGCTACATTTCTTCTAGTTGACAAAAATTACCATAGGACTTGCAGGACTAAGGTTGTTTTTCCGTTTAAGAAAGTTTATGGAACTTGTTTCTATGAATGTAGGGGGGTTTTGAACGAAGTTGAATGCTTTAGTTGACCCTTCATGTTTTGAATAGTGCCAAGTGTTATGAAAATCGGTGTCATTAGCCATTGCCTGTGGAAATTGGACCGACGTAAAGAAATCTCTTTGTTGAAGTTCTTTTTTTAACACCCATAAACTCAAAGTAAGACGATGACAGTAACTGAAACTGATCTTTTAAGAGTAAATGGCAAGTGAGAAGAGCGTCGCTACGACATCCGATGTTAAAGTTATGTTAAAGCCGGATAAGATCAACTGCTGAAATATCACAAACTATATCAAATTTTATCATATCATTTCGATGTCTTCATTTTTCATTCGGGCACACTTGCCTTTCTCTGACCGTACAACTTTTTGTGTTGTGTTGTTTTGCCTTTTGTTTCACCTTTTATTTGTCTTTGTTTTTTTGTCTCTTGTTTGAGAAACATTGAAAGAAATATGACTTTGTTAGAAATTTGTCACATGTTAGGAAACTCGTCAGATGTGATAATATGGGAAACAAAGAGTACACTTACATTTGCCTCGCTGTTAACATGTGGCTTCGTTTCCATGTTGGTAGTAACACTCGATAAATGTCTCGGAGGCACCGGTTTAAACCGTGTAAAAGTATTCATTTACTCAGGATTTTTATTCTACAATCATTCATTTGCATATAAAAAATGATTCATTTCGTTTGTTTGTAAAACCTTCCTTTAACAATCTCTTACTGGTAGAAAGAGCAACCTTGGATATCACCTTTGTAATGGAGAGGAGTTTTGGATTCTAGTAACATAGACATGTTGTCAAACTGATATATTTGGAAAGTAAGAGACTTTTTCTAGTAAGATATTAGATTACTTTTATTACCAAGGTAAATTGTAATTGAGTGTATATACGGTTATGAATACGCTCTCTGAAACCGTTCACAACTATTAAGACTGATAGAAGTATTTTTCCATAAATCATATCCACATTAGGGCAAAAAATTAAATCAAGATAAACATTTTTTGATATTCATCCAGTAGTCTAAAATGTGGGTTTATTGAATGCTTGCGAGTCATTTTTTCAGTTGAACAACGAGTTTTTGGTTGTGTACTTTTCAAAACAGGGCGGTTTTTAATGGAGTGTCGAAAGTAATCAGGTATTACTTTGGATTTGCCTCACTCTGCTCTATGATTGGTTCCAAAGAACTCGCGCCACTCTCTCAACCAATCAGATGCAAAACTAAAGCCAATCACGACTTGGTCATCCGCGTTTTCCCACACTTTGGGCAGTTTGCTTGGTTTTAGTTCTAGTTCTCTTTGGTTTTTAAAGGTATTTTCTAATCCTCTGATTGGTTGTTGTGATAACTTTGGTTTTCGGCTTACGACACTCAATCGATAAATGCTCCATGAGCCAGTAATCATCCACTGCAATAAACTTGCATCGTTCAGATAGCAACAAACTAAAATTGACCATCTTTTTAGCGAAGAAACTTGCACATTCAAAAACTGGCTACCTAACTAATTCTCCTCTAACTATAAAGAAAAACGGTACCTGTTACTTTCGACTGTTATTCGAGAAATGATTAGAATCCTCAGAGGATTTTTTTTGTTTTTGTTTTTAAAATTTTTTTAAAACACTAACAGGCTAAAACATATCCTTGCTGCTTAAGTTTTTCAGTTTCAGTCAGGCACCACCGCATCCCTATCAGAGAAAAAAAATATAACACTGTTAACAATTAAAGCTTTGATATATCTCCACGAATGCAGTTCTGGGACTTCTAAGTCTTCCGTGTAATAGACTAAAAAATATCCAGGTGAGTATCGGAATTAACTCGGGTTTACCTCGGTTGCGCCCCTTTCCTAACATACCAAATTCTCACGTCTCGGGCAGTTCGCCTGTTTACTTTGAGTTGTCCTGGGTTGCCTGTGATATTTTCCTTTGCTCTGATTGGCTATTGTATTACTTAGTTCGCTTTTGTTTTACGACTCTCGATCGAAATGCGCACTATTGTTACGAGTAAAATTACCTATTCTCATCAATTTAAGTGTTCTTCGCTGAGGAGTTGGTAACCGGATGATTTACTGAAGCGAAAGAAGGAAATCAGGTAAAAAACAAATTGTTATTTGGATCAGGGCATAGTTGTTCAGGAGGTGGTAACGGTATCCAACGGATGAATCGCTATCCAACGGATAAGTGACGACAAAATGTACCGCACCATCCACCAGAAAGAGATTTACCTTGCGTTTAGCGTTATCTACTCCTCGGACAACCGGAGATAGATCAATAACGGAAAACCATATTGGCTCGAAATTGTCCATCAAGACAAAATAGAAGTCAAATTTAGTAGCAAAAAGCATGAGTTACCACATTTTAACGTCATCTGAGATTCATCAATAAACAGATTTCCGGTAACTTGGAGTCTACTTATTTAATGAAATAGAAGTAGTGGACGTCATTCAACGAGTGATACATTTGACAATAATTAAACCGATGAACTCATGACCCTCTGAATGAATGAAAATTGGAATAAGAGAATAATGGTAATTGTAAGAATGATAAACATTTACTAGAAATATAATATAAAGCTATGAACATCAAAGAAAATAAAACTAATGGTAGAAATAATTTCATTAAAATTTGACTATTCAAAATTATTTAGAATTAATTTACATGAGTGATTGCATAGGAATTTGATTTATTATATTTGATTTAAGAAGTCAACGCTTAGAATTTTAAGCATTAGAGCTCCGTTTGAGGTCCACATGAAGACTATTAAGCATGCTCCATCGTTTATTTGCTCTTACAATAAACATCTGACCACATTTAAGACTTTTCTTATATTGAGAGAAATCAGTGGATTTATTATGTCTGTCAACTTTCTGACGAGTGAATAATTCACCATTATTAATACGTTAAAGCGTGATGAAGATCAACACTAAAAGAAATACTGATAGGTCGCTCGTTACGTTATGCAAACTCTGTAGAAAATCTACCATTAGTCAACAACTGAGCCAGGGATTGTTAAGAAATGTTACATAGTTTCCATGATTCATGGCAAACGTCTGTGCATGATAATTGTTTTCTGTCAGGAAAGTGTGTGTGGCTTCTATCGTATACCACGTGCGAAACAATGTCGTTCATGTTTTTATGTACCCATAAAGCTTTTGGGTCTCATCGTTGATTGTCTTTTAAGTGTCAACGGTTATGCAATCGAGTGTATAGCAGGAAGGACCAGAGGAAACATTTCTACTAGAATGCCACAATTCTCAGTTTTTTTAAATTAGATATTTACCGATCATCGTATATTTTGTTCACTGCATAGTTTAATTCATTGGTTCCCCTGCAAAGCAGAAAAAAGGGTGGATAGCGTAGGTGAATAACCGAGATGACGTCTCTATAAAAAGCAGGTTTACAACTGACAGAATACCAAATCAATCAGCAGCAGTATTCGTTTGAGGAGTAAAACATGATGACTAAAAAATCATGACTTGCATATTAAATATTATGCAGTTAGTGATCTGGGTGGGTATCATAAGATGACTTGATCAATACACTTTTGTAAAGACCAATGTCCTAAAAAGATCTGGAATACAACAATTAAATTAATGGTCGGTGGGCCAGTGCACTAAAATGTATTTGGCTTAGGCGTTTGTCTTTACAAAGAAAGAAACAAAAAAAACGAAATGTGATTTGTACTCACGTCTGAAATGCAACCGTGTTTATGTCCACATTCTTTTGACCTCTCCTATTTAAAAACAAGTTTAATGGTTCACATCAAAGGAGAAGAGCAAAAGGAAGGGTTTCATCTTCATGATATGTTAATATCATTCGAATATCTAAGTGTATTTTATTAAATTAACCCGGCCCAATTTTTTTTGGTAACATGATATATAATTTTTACATTTGTTAGACATGGTATGTCTTCCCGTCAAGTAGTTTTTTTTCCTCACCTTTTCCAGTAAAAGAATACACCCAGTGCAACGACAGCGATTAAAATGATTACCAAGGGTAACACCACAGCAAGTGCATTAACGCCTATCAAAGGATGGAAAGCAGCCGTCAGTAAAACTAACAAGTGGAGTGAATTGGTTTTCCTCATATCTCAGAAAGAAAGAGCAACTAGGAAAGATTTTTTCGTCCTGTCACGAAAATAAGATAGGGAGGTATTATCAGGCCTCTTCACCCTACTTGATTTTTAGCCCACCTTGATCATCTTAAAAAACGCTACACACGGTATATTCGTGTTTCTCGAAAGCATTTAATTTGTCTGCACTGAGGTGTATTTTTCCTCGGGACTGATTTGGATCAACCTTTCTGCTGATCAAAATTCTGAAACTATGGGCTATAAAGGCGACAAAAAAATTAAAAATTTCATTACAACAAAATAGTGGTAGGGAGATGACCTTAAATGAAAAAGGAAGCAAATACTAAGCTATTGAGTGACATCAGAAACCTAGGCAAGCTCTGGGGCCAGTGTTTTGAAAAATACATGAGATATTTTGGCTTTTTGGCCAAGTCAACCTTGGTCTCCATAATGACTACTCGGTAAGAGCACTCACTGCTTTCCTACGCTTTTAAACATGTAACTACACAAGGTTCAACCTTTGCGATGATTCAACCGGGGTTTTTCGCCAACCTGGGGTGATATAAAGAGGCTCATCCAGCTGTAGCTCTCTTTTTAGTTCGTTCAATGCCAACTTAGCTTAACCATGCTCTTCGTGCAATCACAGTCAACTAGATCCTTTGCTGCCTTGTTCTACATAAGTCCAATCCTTTTTTTCAATAAACTTAAATCAACTTAAAAAACATAACACGATGATGATTAAATTGGTAAACCCCTGAACAAGACTAGGTGAAAGAAATATTAATTATGCTGCCCATCGCCCAGTGCGGTGGTTGTTGGGTCGCCATAAGCGACGTGCTTGGTTCTTTCAACACGTTGGATGACGAGACAACACAATGATTAGAAAAACGTTTCAGCAGCACCTTCTGTTTTCCTGTTTCCTTGTTGCGCTCCGAGTATTCCCCGTTCTTTGTCTGTGTTAGCTTCTGTCGTCATTTCTGACGGTGGTACAGTTGGCGAACCGGTAAACACTAGGAGGTCAAATAAAGTTTCAAATTCCGGTTTCTGGTTTTCTTCGAATCGAATCTTTCGAATCGAAATATGCACAAGAACTCGCCGTAACAGCACGACGCCGGGGGAACCTAATGAAATGAAGACTAACTCGAGAAAACAAATATATATGAAAGGGAGGAATGAGATGCGTTTTGATTGTTATTATATCCTGTTTTTGAATCACCAGCGATCCTTGGACACTGACTGGCTCTCAGCAGTATCGTGTAGACAAGGTTCACACTATATTTTTCCTTTGATAAAAAACTAAAACAGAAAAACTAGTCTGTCAAGGCTTGCAATTGTGGACTGCAACAAATCAAATTGTGTAAATAAACAATGATGTAAGAAATGTAAAAGAGGAACAGTTAACTGTCGTGTAATGTAATTTTGATCTAAAATCATAATCAGTGATTTTAAATCGATCACGTGCTTCCCGCCCGTTGGATTTGAACTCCAGCAACTTCAAGTACCTTTATGAAATTGAGCGCATTTTGAAACTGACTACCAGACTAAATAGCTATAGCACGCTCTATCAGGTATGGCACCCAATGTGTCTCTATGAGCAGAAGTGGTTACTATACCTGAGCAGCCGTAGATTTCCACCCTCAGCGATATGTGATTGTGCCACTCAACAGGCATCAGGCGAATGTAACGTGCTGTTATTGGTGGACTGAGTACATTTTTTACAATTGTGTTACTGTCCTGATTTCCATAAAATACCTGATGTTGAGACAGTAAAGACTTAAAACGGAAGCCAAAAATGGTCAGTTTGCTGGGTAACGTTCTGGTGCATAAGGCTCAAAGAAGAAATCTTACGTTTGGTTTAGCATTGCATGGCCTACAATTAACTGCCATACACAAAATAAGAACTTAAGTGAAAATGGGGTCAAGCGGCTAACCTCTCTACTCTCTTCAGCAGTAATCATACCTTTGCTGAACTGTCTTCCGTTGCATTATAAAATTCAAAAGTCACTCCGTCACTGCTATACTGTATGCGGTATCTGGACACCCACTGGTCGTTCCCATTCATCCCCTGAGTCGCAACACCTGTCACTCGAGAGTTATCACCGATATCCACTTGAAGCCACTGATTGAAGTTATTGCTCATGGCTGACCACCCCCCTCCCTTGTTCCCGTCTGCTTTCGAATTTAACCTTGCCTCCTTTGCGCCATGATCCTCATCCATTTGGGAGGATGCCCTTAGGTTGGCATCAGATATTTCTTTATTCTCCACACCAAGTGCTGCAGCACATCCTGTGTTTGAAAAAATATATTTTGTTTGAAAAAGTAATTTATAATAAACACATTCGAATAACCTTCCAACAATAAGATTCTGCTTAATTGGTTAAACTGCTTGGATTGCTTCATTTCATCACGTAAGGGACCATATCTGTAAAATTTATGGCGTTTTTTTGTCAAATAACCTTATTTTTAGAATGATTAATTATAACTGTTCCTTTATAGCACCTGGACAGCCATAGATCTCTATCCTCATTGAGATATGATTGTGCCACTCCACCGGTATAAGCCGTATAAACCTTGTTGTGATTGGTGGGCTTAAACTGTTGTGAACCACTGCCTCGCTGTTTTGATTTCCAGTGAAAACCTTTAAGACAATGACAAGGAAAACTGTTGTTATCTTGCATGCGAAAAATTTCTATCCCATGTTTAAACTAGATGAAAAATTTGTCACACGAAAGGAGTGTTCTTAATATGAATTATAAACAGTTTGATTATGGAGCTGAGTTTATCTCATCCATTTTTGTCACGGTAAGGAAAACCAGCACAATATTCGTTTCCCCAAGGTGCACTTTTTTCAAGGCTCAGCCACTAAAGTTATCAGGAGGACCACCTTTCTTACTTTGCAAGCGAGTAGTCTTAAAATGATTTAACATACCCTCGCGACGCTGGCATTTGATAGTTTGTACACCTGGAAGCTCTGGCCATCCTCACCGTACTCCACCTTATACTTGGTCATCCACTGATCGTGCCCATTCCTTCCTTGAGTGGCCAAACGTGTCACACGTGTGTAAGTACCAAGATCTACTTGAAGCCATTGGTTAGCATCATTTGCGAGAGATGACCAACCTCCCCCAAAGCCACCGTCCGCTTTATAATTTAACCTTGCCTGACTTGCAGGGCTTTTTTCATCCAAAATCGAGGATGTAGTTATCTTTGAGTCAGCGATATTTCCGCTTTCCATCCCAAGAGGTGTGTTGCAGTCTACAAGATGTAAATCAAGAATCAGGAAGAAAATGTAGTTTCCTTTGAGGGAATGGTCAGATCTAATTTAAATAGCTACCCATAATAAACACTGACACTGGTCGAATTTAATTTTTTTCCAACTTAGCAGACAAGTATTGCTGTGACCTTTTTCGTAATCAGGAAAAAACAAAAACTTATCCGTGGATGGGAATGATCACGCGGTTGACTTGATTCATCTGAAGCTGCATCTTTTTTATTGATTAATTGAACTAAGATGAAGACCCTTACCACAAGCCACTGCTAAGATTTTTGTAAACCCGTTTTTCAAAATGTCCGTAGTCATATTATTGAAGAAGATACTTTTCAACCATGAAAGACAGAAGTCGTTCGAAATGATGGACTCTACCTGGGCATCCGTAAATCTCAATTCTCATTGATATGTGTTTATGCCACTCTATTGGCAATAATCGGACGAAACGTGCTCTGATTGGCTCGCTCAGTCTTTTGACTACAACTGTGGAACTGTCTTCATTTCCATCGAAAACCTTCAAAAGCAAGTTTTAATAAACAACGTAATTAACATCCAGTTTGCTTTATTTTCTCACAATTGCCCAAAAACTTACTTATCCGCCTAACCACGTATCAAGCCACTTGCCTTCCCCCAACCAGTCATTTACACTACACAATTACCAAAACTGGGCTGAACGTTTCCTCATTCACGTCCATAGGCATAATATTTTTCATACAATCACGGTTTACGATAAACATTAATTTACTGGCAGGTTATTCTGGCTCCATAGTTAGAATGCAGCGCTGAGGGCATACCTCTGCAGAACTGTGTTCTGCTTTCTTGTAAAATCGGAAATTTATCCCAGAATAGCTAAATTGTATTCTGTATTTTGTCACCCACTCGTCGAGGCCATCTATACCCTGTGTTGCTACACGCGTCACAATTGCTTTACTTCCAAGGTCCACCTGTAACCATTGATAAAGATCGTTCTTGCGAGCAGACCACCCCCTATTTTTACCATCAGTGGCTGCTTGAATGTGCAACCTGGCCTGCGATGGAGCCCGATCATTATTCAGTTGTGACGAGGCAGATATTTGCGCATCAGAGATTGATTTACTTTCCATGCCGAGGGGGGACACACAGCCTGGATAAGTCGAAAGAAACACGCAGATGTAGTCACAGAAAGGTTGAAACTTTTCACTATCTTGTAATCCGTACAATTAAGTGTTAACATTTGGAATCGCTTTTAACTTATTTATCTATGCCATACTTCCCACATAGCCCTTCAAATTCAAAGTTGAGGTCATACCTTTAGAAGGTAGTTTATTTCTAAGGAAACTATTGCACAACGAGGACTTCCAAGTTAAATACTTAGTTAAGAAACAACGTGAGTTGTGAAAGGAAACTTAATCACCTCAACAAACTTTGAAAAGTAGGATGGTTAAATTATCCTTATCAACGTTACGATGATAGCAGGTCACAAATTTTTCCGCGAATTTTTCCACGCCAGGGGCTGGTTTTGTGACTTTACTTCCATCATTAAGCAGGTAATTAATAACGCTTTAGTGATTTGCAGTTGCAAATGTGTTTTTTGCTTGTACAGATACGTGTAAGACAAATGAAAACAAATACATAACCTTATAATAATAATTACGATAACGCTAATTTCAATGACTATAGCGATAGAGGTAATAATGGTGATCAGAGTGATGATAATAATTTAAAAAGTAAATGTTAATGATAATAAAATATGACAGTGATGAGAATAAAGGTAATTAAGATTATAAACAATGAAAAATATGAGGAGAATGGAAGTTACCTGGACAGCCATAGATCTCAGCCCTCATGGATATGTGTCGGTACCAACTCACCGGTCTGATTCGTATGTAGCGTGCTCTGATTGGTTTGCGTATTTCGTGATAAACGACGGTCTCTCTGTCACTATTTCCACGAAAGACCTATGTAAAATTATCAAGACAAGTGGAAAGTGAGCTTTTGATCAGAACATCGATGAAGGTTTCATACACTCCCAAACAATAAAGCTGTTGGGGAGACGGAATATTGCTTTCCGATTTGGGGTTACTTTGTCTTATTGTCTCCTATAATTTTTAGATTTTATGTTTGCTCCAGATCACTAATGATGTCTAAAAAATAGGAACAATAAAACTAGTAAGGTGTACCTTTTCAGCTTCGAGTGGCGAAGCCTTATAAAACTGAAACGTTACTCCATCGTCACTATACTGCAACTTATATGCTGTCACATATTGGTCAATGCGTTGTCGGCCTTGAGTCGCTATACCAGTCACTGTAGTGTATTGACCAAGATCCACTTGAAACCACTGGTTTAAATCATTTGCACGTGATGACCAACTTCCGGAGGTTCCCGGAACTTTCTTATAATGTAACCTTCCTTGCCTGGCCCCATGATTGCCATCCCACTGTGAAGAAGCACTTATCTGTGCATCGGTGATTGCCCCGCTATCCATGCCAAGTGGCGCAGCACAACCTGTTTGTATTGAAATAGGACAAGAAAGTGAAAGGTGTATCTTTTTACGAACAGTTAAAGTCTTCGTTTCATCGGAGCATGATACGTTTGTTCTCTAACCTTAAATTTTAAACATTTAATAAATCGGAACGTTTCTCATCCGGCCCCCACGATGTTTTTTTAGTTATCAAAGAGTTTTATTGAAAGTCCATGATTGATATTTAAAGTTTCAGTTCCTTTTAAGGTTTTATTAAAACGATTCTACCGCGTCAACTGTGTCGGGATATTGCCAGCAAGAGGTGTACCTGGGCATCCGTAAATCTCCATTCTCATTGATATCCGGTCGTTCCAGGCCAGCGGTTTCAGTCGAATGTAACGAGTGGTTATTGGTGGGCTCAATATATTATAAACAACAGTGTTTTGGTCTTGATTTCCATTGAACACCTAAAAAATAGACAAAAGAATAAAGAATTTGGGTAAATTTCTTATCGCTGCTTAAGTTTGTTCAACCGACAGATTTTATGCAGACTTGAGGTGTTACTGGTTTACTTACTGATGAGCAGATAAATGTATGAGTTCTGATGGGTGAATAGTGAGATGGAACGAAATATGGACGGTGGATCGGTGGATTGAGCGAATGGATGGTAAGGATGGATGGATAGAAGGATGGATAAGGGAAATAATGGAAGGATGTAGAGATGGATGAATCGAGCGATAGTATGGAATGGATTAATGGTTGGAGGATTAGATAGAGAGATAAATAGAAAACCTTATTTAACCAAGTAATTTTGATCAAAGTTTACAATATGCTGCACTTTTGTTCTTCCCAAAAGCCATGAACTACAAAATTACGACTAAGCTTTTAAACCATTAAGAAATTTACATTGGTAAATGTAAATGATAGTTTTAATTTTCTATAGAAAGAGTTAAGACACCATCTTACAAATAAAGCGTTTCACTAAAAATAAATAGAGAGATTGAGAGAATCTAATTTTTTTCTTAAAAGCTTAAATGTATTTTTCATGTTTAACTTCGTTTGAGGACGCATTCCAAACTTTTGTCCTAATGTAAGCAGAACTGTTCCGCTAGTAGTCTGTTTTAACAACCGATAAAGCTAGATTTCTACCGAAGGTTCTTAGATTAAACACTGATTTCCCAAATACTACTCGAAAAGATATCTTCTAACTAAGCCGGGGTCATACATAAAGTTTCTCTGTGAAGTGACCACAGACGTTATCCCATACCATGCCACAATTATCATGGCATGGTTCCATAATTGACTGAGACGCAATAATCAGGTTAGAACTATAGGAACAAAAAGCGTAGTGGATGAATAAATAAGTGGATGGAAGAATGAGTGGATGGAAAGATAGATGGATTGAGCGACTGCATGGATAAATTGGTGAATGAATAAAATAATTAATGGATGGATTTTTGGACGGATTAGTGAATGGAGGCATTTATGAACGGATGGAGGGAAGAAGAGAGGGAGGGAAAGATGAATGGATGGATGAACTTCATTTCTCAACCAGGTTTCGTTTTCTTCTTTTTGTCAGCTTTACACTCTTTCATGAAGCAGCAGGGAACGTTATATGCACGATATCTGTTGACAAAAGTCTGCAACTTAGCAGAGAAAATGAAAGTTTAGGATATCTGGTACCTTCGCAGAGCTGGATCTAGCTTCCTTGTAGAGGTGGAATGTTATTCCATCATCACTATACTGTAACATATATCTAGTCACCCATTGATCGGAACCATTCGTCCCCTGAGTCGCCAAGCGCGTCACTTTTGTGTAACTACCAAAATCCACTTGAAGCCATTGGTTCTGATCATTTGTGAGAGCTGACCAACCCCCAACTTTGTCACCATCCGCTTGGAAATGTAACCTAGCCTGTGATGCGGAGTGATTGTCATCCAGTTGTGATGATGCTGTTATCTGAGTATCGGATATGGATCCAAGTGCCATTCCAAGAGGATTTATGCAACCTTAGTTTGACAGAAAAAGAAAGGTGACAATTTTTCACAGATGCCATTGTTTGATTGATAATGGCTACCTACACCTGTAATAAGAATCATAGTTAAAGATATTGTCATTCACAACAGGCAGCATACCACAGATAGCCTTTACAAAATGATTAACATCGGGGAAAAGTGATGGAATTTGTTATCTGTACAGCAGCTCAAAAAGAAAGTCAAACGTTAACATTTAATACGTCTCCTTCAAGTAAATAAGATTATTCTTACTAGATACCTGGACAGCCATAGATCTCGATCCTCATTGATATTCGATTGTGCCACTCAGCGGGTTTGAATCGAATGTAACGCGTTATAATTGGTGGAGTCAGTGTGTTGTACACGACAGTGTCACTGTCTGTATTTCCATTAAAAACCTTGATAGAAAAACGCGAAATACCTTAGATGATTACTCAAACTTTTTTGGAATTGATTTTTCTTAACGCCTACGTACAAAATTCCACTGTTCTAGTTTCTTACAGTTCGTTTGAAATTAGCAACATTCTGATTAGGCGTGTCAATCATCAGTTGGATGAACGTCGATCTCCATGACTACAAATGTTTTAGCCAGTCTAATCCACATCTTCCCTGAACTGAACGCGCGAAGGATGAGCTCTTGAAGTTTTGTATGGTAACATTTCGACAAATATATGTGATCTGAGATTTTCATTCCCAACACGTGCAAGTTATAAGGAAACAAAATTTGGTGGCTATACTACCGAAAATTGTATATGTTGATTCCTTCAAAGTTGATAGGGGAATATTGAAATAGACTGGAGAGACTTTGCTTATTGGGACAGAACGAAGTTTTATTTTTTACATTTTATTGCCTAATGTGTTAGTGTCGACGTTCTATAACTGAAATCTGGGAAAACTGCATCATGATACAAACCTGCGCAGTAAAATGTCCTGGATCCTCAAAGAAATGAAAGATGTCCTCATTTTCACCGTATTGCAGTCTGAACTTGGTCACCCACTCGTCACGCCCATTCCTTCCCTGCGTAGCAATGCCCGTCACCCTTATGTAACTACCAAGATCCACCTGAAGCCATTGGGTTACGTCATTTTTAAGCGCTGACCAGCTTCCTCCGTTTTCTCTATTTGCCTTTGAATGTAACCTGGAATGCTTTGCAGAGTGATTTTCATCCAGCTGTGTTGACGACTTAATTTGAGAATCCGAAATTTTGCGATTTTCCATGCCATACGGGGACATACAGCCTAGATTAACGAAAACGATGTGTTTAGGAGACTGTTTTTCGACTAAAGGTAAAAGGATCGACAGCGGCTGGATTCAATTCGTTCTGTTACAATACAAGCTCTGAATCAGGAGTATGATTATAGACAGAAACGTCGGTAACCCATTCATCAAAACTGTAGCAAAATTTGAGGAACTAAATAATTATCGGTTAAATGTATTTATGAGTAAAAACATAACAATACATATTTTTTCATGAGTAAGTGGCCCAAGCGTCGATATGGTGGCACACTTGAATGACTTTTACTGTCAAGTTACACATTTGGACACCGAAAAGGCTTTTTAGACCGTCCAGTTACAATCATGACGTCTAAACTGCTTTCTTAGTGCTTTTATCAGTCTGTTGATAACCAATTACGTTCGAGAATATTGGCATAGTCACTAGTTTAAAGATTGCGAAATACCTGGACAGCCATATAACTCCATCCTCATCGAGATGTGGTTATTCCACGTCATTGGTATCAGCCGTATATACCGAGCTGTTATTGGCGAAGTTAGTTTGTTGTATACGACAGTATCTGAATCTCGGTTTCCATCAAAGACCTGAGTATAATGAATGTAGATTTTAGAGAAGTATTCTAAGATTTAAACATTGTTTCAGGACACTCTCATCTGTTTCTACTTTCAAGATTCGTCATAGTTGATATTTCATTCACATTTGTAGTGCAGAATGTATTAGGTAACGGAAGAAATCCCTAATACGTTCATGAACTAAAATGAGGTCCATGGTAGTAATCTATTTTAAATAATTTGCTTTATAATGATTTATTTCTTTGTGAAAAATAGCCTATAGGTTAGGCCTCTCAAGTGAGGTTTTACCTGTGAAATTTTTACACACCTTTTCTGAGCTGCTGTCAGATTCCTTGTAGAAAGTGAAGGTCACACCATCATCGCTATATTGCAATTTGTATTTGGTTACCCATTCTTTGAATCCGTTTCTTCCCTGAGTCGCTATTACCGTCACCCGCGCAAAAGTATTAAGATCCACTTGTAGCCACTGATTACGATCATCTGTGAGAGCCGTCCAGCCACCTTGCTTTTGACCATTTCTCGTAAGGTGTAGTCTACCTTGTATTGCAGACTGGTTTCCATCCAGTTGCGAGGAAGCACTTATCTGAGCATCTTCTATTGTCTGACTTTCCATTCCAAGGGCAGTCATACATGCTGCATTTGTTGTAAAGAGATAAGTGTCAGATGCAGATACTATCCAAACTTTACACGACACTTTTATTAAATTTTTCTTTCAATAATTGCCTCTCATAAACTATTGTAGTCACCAAAAGGATTGGTTTATTTCAGTCATGATTAATTTAATAGAATACCAAAATTATATCCCACGCATTCATCTCACTGCACCCACTATTTTTCTCCAAATCCTCTAATCTATGATGAACGAGAAATTATGTTGCGACGCAAAGACTGTTCTCACTTGCTGGTATATGCCTGTGGCTGAGAGAATGTTATCACTTGCTGGTATATGCCTGTGGTTGAAAGACTGTCTTTAAAATTTGACAGCAGATTTTAAAGTCCTATTACGCTTCTCAGTCAATCTAGTTAATTGTTTTCTGACGTTTTTTGGCCAGCGGATTCTAAAATCTAGATCAATAATCGCCATACCTGGACAGCCAAAGATCTCTGTCCTCATGGAAATCTTATTGTGCCAACTGATTGGTATAAACCGTATAAACCTTGCTGTGGTTGGAGGATTCAGATTGTTATACACAATGGTATCACTTTCTTTATTCCCATTCAGCTCCTGTAAATTGTAAGCGGTATGGATTAAGTCTATTTTTGGAAGGGCCCTCGAAAGTGACAAACACTGCCCTTAAAAGGCCCTTACCTTTCAGTTGTAACCAGAGTCAAACTGTGAGTCAAAGTAAAATTTCAAAAAAGTAGAAAAATATACGGATGTTTCAAAATTATTGCATTTTTTGCGAACAGTATGGATTGAAAGAGTTGTCCCCTATCTCGCCTTTGGATATTGCTCTTGTCCATCACACGCATGTGACATCTAACTAAGACATACCGTCCATTCGTTGTCACCCTGTTGCTTGTAATTCTGGAAGTTTTTTCCATCGTCACCAAATTGTAACTTGTATTTGGTCACCCATTCGTCTTTGGCATTCAACCCTTGAGTCGCCACACGCGTCACTCTAGTATAACTGCCAAGATCGACCTGCAACCATGGGTTTTCGTCGTTTGGCTGAGTTGACCATCCCCCAGCCTTATTTTCTTCTTCTTTAAAATTCAACCTGGCCTGACTTGGTGAATGGTTGTCATCCAGTCGCGAAGAAGAAGTGACCTGGACATCAGTGATCGTTCCATCCTCCATGCCAAGCGGTTCAAAGCATACTGGGTTGTTTTCAAAAAAAAGGCAAAAATTAAGAGAAAAGAAGAAGAAGTAAAATAAAGAAGAAAAAGAGAAAGAGTGAGAGGAAGAAGAAAAAGCAAATGGGGTGCTTTATCTATTTGCTGGAACGAGCCAACCAATCTTCGATTTGCTATTATGCAGTCTAGGATCGCTATCAATAATCGATTGAAACCTGCTTTGATAGGAAATTGAAAGACGTAATTAAAGATGTGGTCTACAAGAGCTGCCCTAAATGCATTTGCTAATTTGTATATTAGTTCTAATTCTCAACTTCATGTAATATGTAGTTAGGACATTTCTTTCAGCCATTATATTTTATGCAGAATGTTTCAACCTTAAATATTACATTATTGAAGTTAATGCGAATAACACTTTGAAAGATTAAGTTCACAACTAATATATATGAAATAGGTACAAATTAATACAACTACTACAACAGCAACAATGAGATACACCGCGATGTACCTGCGCAGCCATAGATTTCCACTCTCATAGAGATGTGATTTCGCCATTCCACTGGAATGAACCGGATGTAACGAGCCGTAATTTGCCTTGCCAATTTGTGGTAAACAATACTGTCTCGGTCTTGATTACCACTAAACACCTGAAAAGAATACCATCATCTCTCATTCCTTGGAGACATTGTGACAAGTAGATTTATGCTGACTTCTGGAACTCAATAAAGAGCCGAGGAGAAGTCTTTTATAACCGGATTGATTCTTCAGAAGATGAACGAAGTTTAACTTGTTACGAATCTTAATCGATTTACTATGGAGAATTAATTTTTCCGGAGTTGTTTTTTTATTTAAGGTGGCTAAGAAGGAAATTTAATTTTGATGGAAAACCTCAAAGCATTTTCGGCTGGAATTTTTCCTCTCAAATCTCCTCGCCTTTGACACCTTTAATTTAGTTGGATCGTCAAATATTCAATCCTGCTTCCATAGTTCACCATGATCTCTAAAGTTAGCTTTTGATTCTTTTCTCAGTTTTTTCACCTTTTCGGATGTTTCCGTATAGTTGAATGTTTTTTTTTCTCCTCTGGAAAACGTATTGCATTTAGAATTAGTAAATTTTGTTTGGCTCCGGTACAAGTTCTATAACATCATTACCGTGGCTGGCCTTCGCACTCTTTATCACCCATGTCTGTTACCAAACATTAAAACCAAGAAAACGAAAATACCTTGAATGAGTTGTCGCCTTTTTCTATGTAAAAATGAAAGTTCACTCCATCAGTACTGTGTTGCAACCTGTACTTGGTCACCCACTGCTGTAATCGAGGTGCATTCCTCCCCTGAGTCGCGACACCGGTCACAATGGTATAGCTGCCAAGATCTACCTGAAGCCACTGTTTGAGATCCAGTATAAGAGTTGACCAGGCTCCTCTCTTTACTCCAGTCAACTTCCAATTCAGCCTGGCCCTTGATGGGGCATGATTGTCATCCCACTTTGTAGAGGCGGTTATTTGTGCATCTTTGATTGCCCCACTTTCCATTCCAAGAGGTGTGCTGCACACTGAAATAAGTGAACATAAATTAATTGAGTAAGACGTCATTCGGCTCGTCAGGAGCTTGGAAAAGAGAAAAGGTCTGGGTTTTCTTCGAAGAATCGAGTTCCAGAACCTCGCATATATAAGGATAGGCTATAATCAAGATTTATATATATATATCTCGCTCCGATACTGTGCTACTGAGCTCTAGAGAACTATGTGGTGAGCTACGCCATTTTTAGGTTGATATGAGACGAGTCCCCCACCGTGCTAGGATCAACAACGTTGGAAGTGTCGCGAAAATGAAAAGAGCGTAAAGGATGGTAAAAATAATAGCTATTAATGTCAAAGAAGTGAATTGAAAAGGCTCTAGTTTATTGGTATCCGACTGTAATTCCACTTTCTTGAGCGATGTTGCATTTGCATCTGCATAATTTTTGCTATTTATCATCTTACTTCAAAACTAATTCTTTATTCGCCGGTATACTTTCAAATCAAAGGCTTCGAGGAATTACCTCATGGTATGTCTTAATTATTCATTTGAGTGGTGAGAACTGTAAATCTTTGCCATATTCTTCCAATAGCGCAAGTTGCACCCTTAAATTACCAATTTAGAAGCGTTAACCAGAGCACCAAAACTTGGAGCCAAAAGTAAACCAAGACGGCAATTAATTAAAAATCACATAAATTGACGGCCAAACAGTGAAAACAAAATGTAATATAAAGCGATCTTGGTAGTAATGAACATTACTAAAACAAAAGTATTCATATAAATTTCTTAATTGAACCGGAGTTCACAAATATGATTTTCATATATTCACAGTCAGTGACAAAACTATTTGTACACGATGGCAAATTCAATCCGTGCACAAGCAAGATTTACTCCCTAGTAATGAAGTAGCTCGCAAGGCGAATGATCAAATTAAATGAAATCAACAAAATCTCAAAACATGATAAATAAGCCTAAAATATAGCCGCAACAGATACGCAAAATCAACTTGAAGAAAGAATAAAATCGGCTATAAAGGTAAAATAAATGAAATCATAACCTTAAAACAGCAACATATGGTTAAGAGATACGTGAAAATCAATTTGAAGACAAGAATTATAATTGCTCACGCGGCGCGACCAAATGAAGATAGAAAGCGAAAAGAAAGAAAAATCAGCCCGATCATTTCAGCCATTTTGAACTTTGCTGATAACTCCGTGTACTCAGGCAAAAATTCGCCCCTAGTGTCAAGCCCTTGGTATTTGAACAGAAGACAATAGCATAATATTGGGGACAAAGGTAAGCTTAATACGGGGAGGTAGGAGATGACGTATTTACTCAAAGTTTTAATGCATACATTAATTGTCTAACAGATCAGAGAATAGGGTTAGTGAGTTAGTGAATGAGTGAATTTTCCTTCCATAATAAAAACTTACAGTACGACTAACGTCATACCATGAGGTAAAAAAGGCCTGTTAAAAGGCACCCCTATTTGATTTTTTATTGGCATCATTTGTTACTGTTAAAACGTTACCTGTACAACCGTAGATCTCTATTCTCATCGCTATGTTTTTATACCACGCTATGGGTAAGATCCTTATGTATCGTGCTGTGATTGGAGGTTTAAGAATGTTGAAAACAGCAGTTTCACTATCACCATTTCCGGGAAATATCTAAGCGAGAAAAACACAGAAAGCATCAAGGAAAAATGATGCGTAAGGCTTGCGGATGATTAACAATGAAAGAAAAGAGTTCTGCGTCTGCCTTTTGTTATATATTTGAATGACACACTGTAGTGGAAGTTTGTACAGCTTAGGAAAATACTCGATTATTCGTGAGGTTCTTTGGCTGGAAACCATCCCTTGAGATCTACAGTGAGTGATGGCCTTTGCTCTCATTGGGTCAAAAAGCCACTTTCCTTTGCTCGATACAAATTCGTTACATCGCAACAATAGCGAGAAAATTAACGCCGCTTGAGTTGTTCTCTATGTACTTTTTGTCATGCATGTGCAAATAAGCGTTGATAGAGTTATAAAATCTCTTATATAAATTTATTTCCGAAGTATTTTAACTACGACAATAATTCTCAAGGCAGCTCTGCATTGAATTAGTTGGCGCTGCGTACCTTGGGGTTGCCACCACCAATTTTCATGTAAGACTTGAAAGTGATTTCGTTAATACTGTACTCTAACTGAAAGGAAGTAACCCACTCGTCATAGCCATCCCTCCCTTGAGTCGCTACTCGTGTAACTCGAATGTAACTACCAAGATCCACCTGAAGCCATTGATTACGGTCATTTGTTAGAGGAAGCCAACCGCCCTGCTTTATTCCACTTATCTTGGTGTTCAGTCTGGCGCGTTGTGGTGCATGATTATCATCCAGTTGTGATGATGCACTGATTTGGCCATCGGAGATCAGTCTACTCTCCATACCAGCGGGTGCAATGCAATCTAAAGGAGAAAACAACAATTGATCATCCTAACTTAGTTTACTCGGTGAAGTTCCCAGCCTGAGTACATGATTTGTAATTTGGTGTTTTTTGTCGAATCATACTTTTCGACAAAACGCTGAGGACATCTTTCCTTTCTTTCCCTTCCATTCTCCTACACTATCATTTTATTATTTGTATATATGTGGATAGGCTTCTTTGTAAATGTACCAAAGTTGCGATTAGTTTGGGAAATTTAAGGAACTTATTTATTCCTTCATTTTCAATTGGAAAAATTCAAACAGTTCTCATTTTTAGGAAGCGTCCTATGAATTATTTTGTCAATGGCTCAAGTAAGACCTCATCTCGGATCCGAAAAACGTTTGATCGTGTCATGGTTAAATTCGTTTAAATCAGCCAGTTATGATGATGCTTAGTCAAAGAACGTAATCGACAACTTTTCCACTAAGCTTCAGAAGAAGTATGTTATAACGTAGTTCCCCAACTGGATGATCTTTGGTCGACATTTAGTCCGTGGAGCGGTTAACAACAAACCGTCGCGACAGATTTGAGTCAACCCTAATAGTAACCTTTTCACTATCTAGTAATTTTGCTTTACATCAATGTCCTGTGAAAAACGATAAGAAGAACCCAATAAGAAAATATTTTAAAAGCCACCAATAGTTTTCAATTACCTGGACATCCAAAGAGCTCTATCCTCATGGAGATATTTTTGTTCCATTGTGTTGGGATTATGCGGACATAGCGCGCTTTGAGTGGCGGACGAAGTGTATTATACACAACCTCGTTACGATCTTGGTTTCCCTTAAACTCCTGAAAATCGTTATTAATGTCACAGTCAAATTAAGATCTAATTTGAAGTCTGAATTGCGACGACTTACTCTATCGCTGGTTTGTTCGTTTGTCCTTTTTAGCCGGCTCTACTTTCAGAATTGCACTTGAAATAACAGGTGATAATGAATAACTAATTAAATAAATAAATAAATTTGCGTTGGCACACTAACAGTGCTTCCATGGTCTCTTACCCGTGGTTATGTCCTGTTCATACTGAGTGCAAACATTAAATTACAGTATTTGCAGATGTATATTTTCATTTATGAAAACAATTATGTCTATTGGAAGTTAGCTCGGTTGATAAAATTCCTTAAATGAGGATAAGCCTTACCGTGACCGAAGTGTCCCCAGTTTTTTGGTAGAACTTGTACATCACTCCATTATCACTAAACTGCAACCTGTATCTGGTCACCCATTCATCAACTCCGTTCACCCCCTGAGTCGCCACTTGGGTCACATGAGTGTAACTACCAAAATCTACCTGAAGCCATTGGTTGGCATCGCTTGTAAGAGCCGACCACCCCCCAGCGTTGTTTCCCACGGTCTGAAAATGCAACCTGCCTTGTACTGCGGAGTGGTTTCCATCCAATTGTGAGGAAGCAGTGATTTGCGCATCAGATATCGACCTACTTTCCATTCCAAGAGGGACAGTGCATTCTGTAATGAATGAATTTTGAAATAAGTCTATCATTAGACAAGAAGCTTCTCATTAGTATGCAAATATAATCTAGCTTCCAAGCGTCTTTCACGGTTTGATACTTTACAAAAATGCGTCCTGGCTCAACTGAAAATTTTCAAACATAAGCGCAATTTCCATGATCACATCACGCGATCACCGTTACGAATACCCTCAGTTTACTGACGAACAAATTAGAGAGAGTACACTATGACAGGTAAAGGATACTAAAATTGAAGGAGCTTTCCTCCAGCGAGAAAAAGGCAATTCATATTTTCAAGAGAAATAACTACGAAGTCAAGTCCTTATTCGTTATACTATATATGACTTTTGCAGCTGCAAAAATGTATGTTTAATTACTGATTTGATAGCATGGCTTTAGTCTATAATCAAAAATTTGTGACATGTGAAACAATTTCAAACAGTTCTGAAATATCAAACTTTTAACAGAGTCTATTCCGGTTAGGCCTCAAACTTGTTGAGAGCTCCCCTCCTTCTTCATAAGGAAAATAAATTCTTGACAACATGCCCTGAATAAAATAATATTTTGACAATACCTAGGCAACCATGGATCTCGGTTCGCATTCCAATTCGATAGTTCCAGAGTAAAGGTTTGAATCGAATGTAACGAGCTGTAATTGGTTGCCTCAACTTGTTTAACACAACTGAGCGGAAGTTTTGATTTCCACTAAGCACCTGTAAAATGATCATGAAGCATGACATAACTTATTATCGACTTTTGTACTTCTTCAAACTATTGTTACAAATAAGACTTAACTCTTATTTTGTTTGGTGGAAGAAGAATAGAAAGAACAGAGGGAAAGTGCTCTCCCTCTAATAAAACGAAGCATGCACCGATAACTGCCGTGACGACTGCGTAAGTGACTTTGAAATAAAAAGGTTTCTACATGGCATGACGCAGAAGGAGATAACATAGTGGTTAACTTCTCTCAGGAAACCCAGCTCAGACCGCAATAATCATATAACCAAAAAAAGTATTTTTTTAAGATAAGTCAAGGGCATTTTCAAATTCACTTCAATGCCACTTTCTGGATATACCTTTGGAAGAGTTCCTCCAGGTTCTTTGTAAAAATGAAATGTTATTCCATCGTCGCTGTACTGCAGATTGTAACTGGCTGTCCAACATTTTCGCCAGCCCTGTAGGTTCACTCCTTGAGTTGCAACACTCGTTATGCTTGAGTAAGTTCCAAGATCCACCTGAAGCCACTGTCTAGGATCAACTGCTCTGGCAACCCAGCCGCCCAAGTTTAACCGTGCAAATTTTGCAGAATTGTAATTATTCCATTCGGTGGAGGCGGTTATTTGGGCATCGGAGATAACCTGACTCTCCATGCCAAGTGGTGAGGAACAACCTGAATGGGTTTAATCAGAAAGGAAACTCAAGAAAGGTGCTATAACATCCCTTTCAAAACGAGAATCTTTCCCTCTAATCTATCAGGATGAAGATAAGTCGGGTACAAGTTTTAGAAGCAAATCTTGCATGATCAAAGATCATAGGCTAATGATGTATATGTTTTTTACAAAATATAGATTTTAAGCAAGAGTTCAAAAGTGAAATAAGATACTAAGATTCTCTCCGCTCCTTGACAGGAAAATAATTTAGAAGAAACATGAAAGGCGTGTTAACATGATTCCGAACATTTTATTTTTTTAGGAGGTTTTCTTTCATTAACCAGTTTTGTACACTATTTTCTCTTGATGCATTGGTTTTTTTGGCTCTTTTCCTGCCTCTTTTGTCGGTTCTAATCGCACTATGTTTTGTTTGCATATTAAATTTTGCCTTTTCAAAGTTGTTTTACGCCCATCTTGGCGTCCCTAGAAAAACTAAACAGTTGTGTTTCTTTTGTGACACCAAAAGTGATTTTTTTCTAACTAAGATACCATCATGTCATGAAATACCTCCACACCCATAAAGCTCCATTCTGAGTGATATATGGTTGTACCACGTGAATGGCAAAAGTCTGATATAACGAGCTGTGATTGGTGAGATCAACTTGTTATACACAACTGTATCACTGTCTTGATTGGCGTGAAGTACCTGATAGTTAAAACCAAAATCAGCTGAGCTCAAGTAGATACCTCGCTTTCGCAGGACAGTTCATATATACACAAAATTTGGAAAGACTGATAAACTTAAATGAGTGTCATTTGGTCCTATGCATACATCGTAATTTTAAAGGTTTATCAGATTATGACGAAACTTCACTGATTCGTAATGATGCCAACATTTTGTCAAACAAAAAAATTGAGTTTATCTTCCAAAACGAATTTTCCTTTCGATCTTTGGATTATGTTAAAGTTAGCCAAGTCAAACCCAGACACAATGCTGTTGATCACAACATTTTTAGCTGTGTTAATTGATCGATGCAAAGCTAAAAAAGCCAGACAATGTTACACTATAAAGTTATGGTACATGTAGGTAAGTTTCGGGGAATCTTTTCTTTTTCAGGACCTCTTAAGAAGAGAGTTGTAAGGAAAACCCATTCAGAGAATGAATTCATAGAATGATAATTCAAAGACACTTTACTTTTGCTGACATTTTCCCTGGCTCTTTGTATGACTGGAAGATCACTCCGTCAAAACTAAACTGTAACGTGAAAGTTGTAATCCACTGCCGCCATTTTGTTGAGTTCCTTCCCTGAGTCGCCACACCTGTCACAGTGGTGTGACTGCCAAGATCCGCCTGAAGCCATTGGTTACGATCATTTTTATGAGACGACCACCCCCCTTGCTTGATTCCCTGTTCAATGAAGTTCAGTCTCGCCTGTCTTGGTGTGCTGTTGTTGTTCATTCGCGAAGAAGCAGTTATCTGGGCATCAGAAATCGCGCCACTCTCCATTCCAAGGGCTCCTGCCAATTAAACAAACAGAAGAGTTCAAGCATTATTTATCTGTAGAGTGTTCAATTGTATCCCAATTTTTTATTAGGGGATATCTTAAGATACATCTCAAACTCTGAAATTGTGCTAAGTAATTTTGTAATACTTTCAGTCAACACACTCTTACCAGAACACTGAACAGCGCTATAAGAGGCTTGGAACCCATAGAAAGAACCATTCTTATCTGATCTGAATATTACGAGGAGACTGTTTGACGAAGAATAAATTCCATTCCTGGGGGGGGGCTGACTCCCATAGAACACTCCTAATACCTTCCCTGTTTGGTCATTGCCATCGTACACATAAACAGCGTCCGTGTTGTTCTCAGATTGTAGACTGAAGCGTTTAAACATTAAGGCCACTTGAAAAGATACTTTCACCATGATCCTCCACATGCAGTATTGCCCATCTGGGTACATATCTGGATAGTTGGGTGAGTAAATGACGCCTTTTTGTCCCTGTAAAGTTTGGTTTTGACATTTATAGTCTCCTGCGAGTAAGAAAAAGTTACTTGGGGTTATTTTCATTGAGCTCGAGGGCACGAAAAAATTTCCATAAGTTTCCGCACTGCATGTAGTTATGTCCATTCTTGCAGCCCATGAAACTCGTCCTCTCTCACCTTTTCGCTTCACTCTCAATCAATGCTCACTCAGATTTAGTAAGAGAGCTGAATTTAACTAACAAGCACACCTTTTTCGGAATACCGGCCGATCAAGTTAGAAACCCAAAGATCAAGCTCTATTACCGATTTATGTACATTGGTAGCTTGTAGTAACAAAGAAGGACGAAGAGATCTTAGAGATTTACCTGTTGGTTAAAGGTATCTACGTCATAAGTGCAACAGACTATACTGACTTGACATACTTGATGAGAGGGGAATTTTCAGAGTTATTTGACTGGGCCCATTATATCTCGCTTTCCACTGCTGTATCTTTTGTTGTGTCATCCAGGCTGGTTTTCCTGTGCCCGCGTAACCAGCAAATGCAAAAGAAGACCGTAAGCTTCCAAGAACAGGATCACTAGCCCCTAGTCTTCTAAGAGCACTAACCGCTGATGAAGCATATCTCGAACCTTCGTCTTGAACACCGACCAAAACGATTTTGCTAAAAAAGAGCGAAACAATGACAAAAAAAGAGTAGTTTAAGGTCAGAAATGTAGGACAAAAAGGTCAGCACTTGGTTTTGACGTCATCTGTGTTGCATTACCGAACAGACGCATAGCAACATGCAATATCTTGTTAACCCTTTTAATCCAAGAGGTGATTAACAAGTATCTTCTCCCTACAATATCCATACACTATCCAGCAAACAGGTAATGAGAATACTCAAATGTACCAGGTAGAAGTTTTTATCTTAATTTAGCACCAACTTCTCGTAACTTATTTACAAGCAAATGTGTAGCAACTAGAGGGGAGAATTAATATTCAGATCTTGGGAGTTTAAGGGTTAAATGGTGAGGCATCATTTCAAAGGTATGATTGGCTCAGGCTAAAATGATTAAAGGGTAACTGCCGGCTAACAGGTCACTTTTTCGGAATACCGTCTAAATACCTCGGGTAACACATTGAAACAGATACAAGGTGTTTCGTATGCCTCTTTGTGCCTTTTTTCGCCGGGAAAACTGTCCTAAATGCAGCTTCGTGAGTCATCATGCCGCAAACGCTTCGATTTTGATCATGTGACCTTACACGTCAGACGTGTGTACCTATGGCGGATGGTACTTCGAGAGAAAGCAGTTCTATTTCGGGGTCTGATTATTCGGATTTTGAGGCGTCGATGGAGGGTGAACATAGTGAAAGGGTTTATGAATCTGTTGGTGAAATCAGGCCTTGGCAATTTGAACCGCCAGGACGAACGTAACCTAAAATAGAGCGCTAGAATCAGAGTAGGATCAAGAGCCCGTGCGTCGCGGCCCCCTTAATCAAGAAAGCGAGTATGGTGAGTGCATTTACGATTGTAATTAAAGTATCTGAAAATCAAATCGCTTATTAAATGTAGGAGCGATTAAGTAAAGAAAACCAAATTTGCAGACTCTTTAATACCATGAGAACGAAGTGTTTTTATGCTACACGCACGCACCTTCCGAAGCTAAGGTTTTACGGACGGAAAATATAAACACACACGCTTGTGGAGGTGAAATTTATGGATTATACACATTCACACGCGATTGAATCAGTTTTAAGGTTTCCTTTGTTGAATTTGGCGAACGACTGAAGATTTCTCGGCTTTTACTTTAAAACACGATGCAGCAAAAAATAGCATTTGATTCTGCACAATATATCGTTAATTTGCTCATTTAGGATTCTTTAACCTAAGAGGAATGTATTGGGGAAAAAAAGGAGAAAAATTTGGCGTCAGTTACCCTTTAAACTACATCGAAACACCAGGGCCGGGTTGTTAGAAGCTGGGTTAAGATAACCCAGGGTTAATGAAATATGATTTCCGATCTGAGTGCTTTAAAAAAAATTCAGTCGAATTTCTTTTTGTCTAGAATATGACTATTTGATGCCCTAAAAAGGACACAGAAAATTAATCCAAAAGGAGTTTTGAATAAAAGAATGAAGAAACCCAGATTACAATTTAACCTTGGGTTAATGCTAATCGGTCTTCGATCAACTTGGCCCTGAAATGAAATTACATACTTTCCTTTAATGTTGTTGAGGTAGTCCCTGAGGTTTCTGCCGGCAGATATAATCCCGTACGTGTCGAACACTTTTGAATCAAGAATGACACCTGAGTGATAAGAAAAATACAAAAAAAAAACATATGCCTAGTTTGAGAACCGGCAATTGTACACCAATCGAATCTTTTATAATATTCATTTCTTAAATTACATTGGAACATTGTTCGTCTAGGGCTCAATGAATTTGAGCACATGAGAAAAACCCTCGTGGTCTCTTTAGGTCGAATAATGACCTAGTCATCTTCTGGTGGATTATTCGACAATATTCACTCTTTGACGCATAATTCTTCCAAGAATTAATAAAACTCCCTGAGAAACTCCAAAGGGCCACTTAGATCATGCCTGAGCCAAGAGGAGCTCTTTGCTAGTCACCTTTATCGAGCTATCCCTTATAATAAATAATAATTTTGAAGTAAAATATTAACCGTGGTTCACACACCTGTTGCTCCGTCCACAACAACAACATTATGTCCTCTGCCGTGACGAGAATAATCCTCACCGTTCACCTTGATGTAAGCAATTCCACATGTGTTCGGTGTCTTTGGCCGATCGTCACAACCTTCACTGCTAATGTAAACATCTATAGCAGGAGCCGCAACAGATACTGCAACAAACCGAATAGTCTGTTTAGTCACAACCATCCATCAAACTAAAGGAAAATATCACAATAAGAACTCAGAGTAGACTTCCCGTTGCACGGGAAAAACGTGATTGACAACGACGCTATCGAGCGATTATGCACCAAGACTGAGAACAAATGAACAAACACAGCAAAGTTAATCTAGACACACGCGGACAATGAATTGACTCAAAAGATAGCCCGCTTCCTCTTATCCCTTCCACCTCTTCTCCCTCCTTTCAATACTAGTGTGAAATGATTTGGAGGGTTATTTGAGAGATAAAGCTGATTGCGTTATGTGGATGGATAATTGATCCACGCTTTTACACAAGGCGTAACAGGAAAATCCATGGATGTGTTTGGACTTGGCTAGAAGCCAGCGTTGTTCAGATTCCGTTGTATAAAAGTTAACAAGAACAATGCCTGCGCCAAGCCTTCAGATCTAGGTTCCTCTTTCCGTTATAGTCTATCAGAGAATAGGAAATTCCCTTCTCGAGTATGACTTGAACTCTTTTGCACAGAAAAGAATGAGAGAGCTGCAGAGGTATCTGAGAGAACTTTTGATGTTACACAATTTGTCACGGGGCAATGAAAAATCTTCCATCAAGTTTGTTTTAGAACTGCAATCGAAACACTTCTTGATCTAATACATTCCATCTGTTCTCTGAATCCTAAGGAAGGGTGATGAAATTTAGTTCTTGAAGAATCAGTTGCAAGAGTAAGGGATTATTTCGTATGTTATAAACATCATTCCATTGGAAAGGTATTCGATTCATAGTGTTCATTGACCCTGCTAAATCCTCACCTGACGATAAGAAACTGTTGAGAAGAGTAATCAGGGCTAAAGTTGTCCACATCGACATCCTGAATTCCTCATTGAAGATGCTACCAGACAGACGATCCGAAAAAAATTAAATGCTTTGCCTAAATCAGCTTTCAAAGTTCTAAAATTAATTTGTCATCACCCGAGGTCAAATCGTAATGCAAGCTGAGACAGATGTCAAATGGTCAATTTTGCATGCTTGTATTTTTCTCAGCCAGTTTCTAAGAATATCTTCAGTGTCTAATAACAACGTGTTCGCAATTCATAACTGAAAAGGCCCACCGGCGCATTCAAGTTTAAAACTAAAGTCGAAATTGAATGTTATTATTCACCCGGGGGAAAGTATTCCATCCTGAATTTGTCAGACCCATGAAAGGTCGTTGGAGGGCGAAACGAATGGCTGTGACATTGAATCAACACGATACGCAATTAAGATATCCCTTCTGATTATGGAAGTTCTGGTGTTTCATCAAGATATCTATGTCATAAAACTAAATATCATATGACGCGAGCCGAACCTATATCGTTAGTACCGGTCAGCGTTTTTTACGTGGGATGCCTGTGGCAGTCCACGTTTAGGATTGCTCTGCGTTTCGTTTTCAACTTAAAAGTAAATAGGCAGATTCTATTTTCACTATGATGTGTTGCTATTTGTTTTTGAAATGTTTGAAGTGCTCGACTTTAGCAAACGAAACATGGCGCCTGCTTCACAACTGGAACTATTTCATTGATGAAAAATTTGAAGCAGGTGCCGCCCATATCCATGGGGTGGGGAGGAGGTATTTCCCCATATATTCCCTACAGCTATGTGCCGTCTTATAGTGCGTAGATTTTAAGCCATTTCGGTTTGACGGCTAATAAGCATGTTGACCAGAAGGGTCTTCCACTGAACGCGATTTTCGAGGCAACCACGAGAGTATTATTAAAAAATTATCAGACGAAGGTGAACAGAAAATTGTGCATGTTGTGATTTGTCAGTACCTCTCTCTACGAATACTCCTTGGTTTATAGAGGTACCCCCCCCCCCTTCTCCCAAGAACACAGCCTGATCTCTCACGCCATTTACTGGAATAGCCACGCGTAATAAATTAAAATAACAAGACCTTGGGCACAGCTGAAGGTTACGTTAGGGCCATGACGCTTCCCACTGGTCTTTCGCCCGTTGCGTTTGACGTAAGATACAAACTTCCGATAGATTGAGCTACGACAAAGTGTACTAGAAGCAAATGCACTTTCCTTCTGATCGCCGTCCGCGACTAGAAACGTCTGTCCCTGATTCCTGATTATTACCTCGCACCCGTGGAGAAAGCGCATTCAACAAGCTATCTTGCTCCGCTTCTGGTCTACTGCGCATTTTCACGTTCAGTCGCTGACTAGTAATTGTGTGAAAGAGTCATCGTGTGCTTAAGATCAGGAAAGTTTATTAATGAGTAAATTAATTATTTTTATTTTCTGACGCCACGGTATTGCGATTTTAATGTTAATTAATTCACAGCATCGAATCAGAGATCTAACTGTCCATCAAGTCAAACATTTTGATGTGGATATGCTCTGAGCATAGAATGACGTCATTCTGACTGCGTCCCAGTCTCTCTGTCTTAGTCCAACATCAGCGCTGATATTAATATCATCCGAAAACAGTAAGGTAACGCAGGCGTTCATGAAACTAATTTACATGAGTGCTGATTTCTATCTCGCCGTCGTGCAAATTAAGCAAAAATTCCCTTGTTGTAAAGTTACGCATTCATGCTAAATTACAGAACAGTTTCGAGCAGAAGAAATCTTTGAGTTTTATAAAATACGAGTTCTATAAAACAGTATAAAAAAGGTGGGAAAGATTATTCATTTAACTCTACACAACGGCGCATATCATGTTGCTTAAAAAATATTTATTTACAACCAAGAGATCAAATATGTCATCTAATATATCTCTATTTCTGAATGACGAAAGTTCGTCTAAATATTACGCTCACTGACTTTCTTTTAAATGACAAAAGTCACAACAGGTGTTAACAAAATTTTTGCAGAAATTCATCTCAGCCTGAAAAGAAAAAATGAAAACATCATGTGAGTATTTCTACTGCTGATTTTAAATAAAAATACTCTTTAATGTTCTATTCGGTCATCAAACTAAAACACCGAATAAATTATTGAAATCACTACGTTGGTCACAATGTATGGAAATAATACAAAAATTACATTTAGTGGCATTAGAAAAAAATTTCAATTGAGTACCGAAAGTAACCCAAGATTGCATTGGTTTGCTTTACTTTGCCCTGAGATTGTTCCACTCTGTGTTTAGTAAAAGGAATTGGAAAATAAAAATTTTAAAAAAAATTTTAAAAAAAACCTACAACAATCAAACCTACAGAATCACACTGAAGTCATACAGGTGAATTTGAAAAAAAGAAACATGCATGGTATTGAATAATTTTCCATCCATTCCTCACACTAATTCCTAGGATCTGGATTAATTCAATCACCAGGTCCTAATTACCAATTTGTTCATTTTCATATGTGGAATAGTTTGCTATGTATCCCTATTTAACTTACAGAGCAAGAAGGTCTTCTTTTTTTTTCATGACTTCTGAACGGAACTTAGCAAGTGTGAGCCAGTCTTGGTTTAAACTTTCCCACTCGGCTTCTGAGTCTAAACATAAAAATATTAAAAAATACATACATTGTATTATTTCACTAATAAGCAAAATGTTGAGAGTGAAAATTTACAGCACCTATAGTTAAGAAGGTTGTCTATTACCAATAGTATCTGTTTGAGTGGACAATGCCTCAAACAGAGATAGGAGACACATTACATACATACATACATACATACATACATACTTTATTGCATAGCTCCCCCTTGGGGGCTCTTCTACCATACATAAATATTTAAATATCAAGTTACAAAGAAAAAAGAAAACAGAAAAAAACAATATTTCAGTAGTAAAAACTAAATATGATGATTCTTCCTTTAACAAATTCAAGAATGAAAGGGCTTAATATGTTGAGGTATTGGAGAGTGAAATTCAAAGGTAATTCATTTTACAGCTCTTACAGTTATGCAATGGGTCAGCTGTAATCAAGAGATTACAAACCTTCTAATGACTCGACTTCCTGCAACTCACGCTCTATTTTGGAACAGACTTCCTTCAAAGATGATAGCTCAGCTTGAACTAGATTCAATTCTTCTTCAATATAACTGGCTGAATCTGTGAGCATGGCAAGTGAAGAGATGAGGTTAAATAGCTATAACTGCAATATATGCAAAGAAATTTAATTTAAGCAATAAATTATTAGTTGCATAATTTATGAACTAAATATGATGATAGCTAAAAGAATTGTGTTTGGGTAAAAATTCTTATTAACACACAAAGTAATCTGGAGCTCCAAATTAACATATCTGTACATTTTTCTAATTGAACTACAGTTGTGTTCTCCCATTTTTGACGTGGTCTCTCATTTTTGTTTAATAAGATAAAATTGCTTAATTAAATAAAATGAAATATTAAAGACAACAGAAAGTATGAGACCCTAGCCCTCTCGGGTAACAAGCTGATTGGCAATTGAACTCAAACTGTATAACTTACTGGAATTTTCACATTTGAGGATTGGCTTCACAGGAACAGTAGAGCCTATAATGTCAGGATTCTCTGAGTCTGCAAGGCTTTCCTTTTTGGTACAGCTGTACACCTCATTTGAAGGAGCTTCAAAATCTTGAACAAAAGTTTTCTTGCACACAGTTTCAGTTGACAATGCAGACAAAGAGCCTAATTCAAGTTGCTTTTCACAGAGGGCAGATGTTGTTTCCTGGCTGCATTGTGGTGGCCCCTGCCTTGCAAGTGGGCATGGCTTTGGGGGAGGGGAGAAAGTTGGGGCACAGAATAGTAGCGACCCCCTGTTTGCTTTTTCAGCCAGTCTAACTTTGCTTCTATCATTGGAATCCACCTTAGGTTCATTGCACTGATAGGGACTTGCAGCTTGTGCTTCATTTTTTCTGGCTTCCTTTGCAGTGGTGTCTGTAGCCCTTGAACTGGTACCATTGCTATTGGCAGCAACCTTTGTGGATTTGAGGTTCTGTGCTTTCCTAGCTGATTTCTTTCTTATCATTTCCTCACTGGCAGACTTCATTATTTCATCCCATATCTCTTCATCTGAGCCTCTGCACCAAAAAAAACAATCATTTTATGAATTCAAGTTCATTCTTTGTTTCAAATTCAAATTCATAGGGGTTAAGTCAATGAACTTATTCTCAATTTTATAAAACACAAAAATAATTGACACTTTAAGTGAATAAATGATAGGAAACCATTACAGACTTAACTATAATCAGTGATAACACATTTATCAGATCTGTCTTTCCATTGTGGTGGACATAACAGCAACAAGTAGGAACTCAAAGAGACCAGAAGACTCAACACTAACTAATTGATTCTTTTAAATAATAGAAAAGGACTGAATGAAGGGTATATCACAGAAAAATGCTGTCATCCTTTGACTGATAATACTCCATGGTATATCCAGAGGGAGGGTCTGGGGTGCTGATCAGAACCCCCCCCTCCCCCCAAGACTTGTGGGTTTTGCATTACTTGTCTAATACAAAAAACCTCTCAGAATCCCTCCCCATCCCATTTGGTATGACACAGAAATTCTTGTATCAATACGGTCACATTAATTACTACTCAACAGTGGGTGATAGGAAAATGCATGAAGGTTAAGGGGGAGTGTGTACAAACTAACTCAGAAGCAATTTGGTGCAAAATATTTTCCATATAATTCTCTCACAGTTTGAAACCCTGTGAAAATTTTCAGGATCCACCTGTGATCTTCAAGAGTAATTTTTCTTCTTGAAGTTGTTCAAGCTGCATATCATTTCTCGCCACAAAATTAAAATATCAAGGGTTTTGCATGACCTTTGAATGCTATATTGGAGGAAGTATATTAAATTTAGAATTATTTACTTATTAAAAACTGCAGTGATTGAAAAATACCTACCCAGGGGGACAGTCTTCTCGGATAACAGAGGACAATTCAAATTCAATTTTTCCAGAGAGGACATTTTTTATTGCTGGCTTAAGGGTAACTGTCACATCAAATTTCCTGGGCTTCTTACTGACATAATCACTTATATCAATGCAGCCAGTTGCCAGAAGCTTGTGTCGTCCACTTGCAGACACCTAACATTTTCAAAAATTTAAGTGAAATTATACTTTTTAAATTTTTAAAAAACTATGTAGAGTTAATGAAAGAATTAAGAAGACCCTCTAATCAAGAAAAGTGCAAAGTGCATGCTTACATTATACACCAATATATTCCAATTTTTTTCTTCATATTCTGTCATGTTGTCCTCAGAGTTCTAGAAATACAAAGACAAGTTTTATTGAAAAAATTGACTTGACTTGTAAAGATAAAGATTTCACCTGACTGTGTATAGTTGTAATAAGATAGCCAAGTAAGAGCACATTAGGCTGTTGAATGAAGTCTACAGTTAAACCTGTATTAAGCTTCACTGTATTAAACATTTATTAGGCAGTCAGTAATGTCAAAGTCCCAAAATTTTTTCCCTTAAATGCAGTAAATTTCACCTCTACCAGGTGATCACCTCTATTAGATGGTCATGCAAGTCACCCTTTACATTATCTCAACAGTTTGTTTCTACTGTCTTCAACCTGTATTGAAGGATTGCTCAAAGCTGATCCACTCAAATAAAACTAAAAATAATCTATTAAATAATGCAACTAAATTTTTATCCATGTAAATGTAAGTACTTTGAGTTCAAAGGTCCTCAACTCATTGCAAATCATGTTTCTTCTTTAGACTTTTAAGTCAAATATTAGACATGAACATCACATACGTTATTTGTTGGTCAACCTGTATGAACCTTTTAACTCCCGTGAGTGACCAAGACAGAATTTCTCCTCACAATATCGATACAATATCATGCAGACAAGTGACGAGAATAAAGAAAAATATCAGTAAGGGGATAATTAGTTGGTTCAATACTAAATTCTCTGAACTAACATCATATGAACTGTGTGGTTGACAGTAAAGAGAATTACAGATTTGATCTGGGAGTTAAAGGGTTAAGCAGTCAACCAACATCTATAAAGTGGTTATCTTGTCACTCCTCAAGGGTGACGGTTTAACACAGGCTCAACTGCACTTAAATCTAAGCATGCAATACTTAATTAAAAGGCTAAATAATGAAACTTTTGGCTACAACAACATAATGTGTTATTTTGCTTTCTTTCAATTGCATTTCTTCTTTGTTAACACTTTATACCCTAACATCAATATGCATGTTCTCCATACTGTTCTCTATACATTTACTAAAGAGCTGACAAGGAGAATTTGTATAACAATCGAGAGCTTCTTTAGTTGGTGATCAGTTCCTTTATTCTCATGACCTTAATATGTGCTAGTCCCTCTCAGGGGTCACAGGGTTAAACTCACCCTAGAGATGGTCAGCTTACTTTCCACTGGATCTGGCTCGGGCCAAACGTGGTCACCATGGAAAATATTATTTGCACTTCCAAACCAAGCTATAGGCTGAAAGCACAAGGAGTAATTTACACGACTTTTTTCTTACCTCAACTTAAAAGTGGAGGAGATTATGATAAAGTTAACCTGTGAATAAACTGACGAAAAAAAGCAAAAACAACGTCTTCATTAATTACCTTTGTGCTGTATTTTGCCTTCTTTTTCTTCCAAAAAATCGCAAGTTTGTGAGGGTGCCTAATTGTGACAACGATCTAAGATTAGCAAAGTAATTAATGGTGAAAAGTTGACATGAATACAAGGCGTCTTCAATGTAACATGTAGTACAGCTTATGAAAAACTCATCAGGTAATTACAAACCGGGCAACAAAATTTCTACATGGATTTGTGCACAACAATTTAACAATAGGGACGCACTTACATCTTTTGCTGTTTTGGAATACAATAGCTCTTGCGAACCGCCGAGCGACCGCCATATTTGCTGTAGTGCCGTTCCAAAAGACTGGTTACGAGCAACACTGACTCGTCCCTCCCCTTCACTGTTAATTGTTGACAAAATGTTAAAAAAAAGCCCTTCCCTGGCTGGGTGGTGAGTGTATGATAAACGAGCCTTGCCCTTTATTTTCAGTCAATTGATGACAAAATGTTAGTAAAGCCCCTTCGTCCCTCCCCTTCACTGTCAATTGTTGACAAAATGTTAAAAAAAGCCCTTTCCTGGCTGGGTGGTAAATGTATGATAAACGAGCCTTGCGTTTCATTTTCACCCTCTACCGAGTCTTGCAACTTCATGGGGTAAACTATTTTCCATTTGATAAACGAACGTTTGTGTTCTAGTCTCACGCTGTATTCAACAGCCAAGATCGGAAGAAGTCCTACACGCATGTTATTTCTGGATTTTTTCATTACCGGAAGCAAACTTGTATTGGGGTTAGCCTTGATGGTAGCCTTCATGACAAAACTCTTTGCGAGAATTAAAGTGCGATAGATTATAAAAATAAAAACATCCAAATCTTTTATGAGCTCTCTCAAAACTTAAACGTAAACAAAGACGAAAAAAGTGCTCTTTTTCCATCCCTTACCATTTTTTCTTGCGACAGTCAATGGACAGTAGGGAAACAGATGCTGTAATCAGAAATTTATCAGCTTTCGCTTTTTTCCGACAGAGTGATTTAAGAACAGAGGCCATGGCTGTTTCTTGCAAAATCTCTCAGACGAGTTTCAAGGATTTTTGTTTCGTTTATTGTGATGTCATGTTACCATTATGATGTTCTATTCGAATCAAAATGCGCGCGCTCAAACACGGGCGTGCCCGAGTTTAATTTTGTAAGTTGTGTAGGCCGGGTGTTCAGGGGCAAAGGCGAAAGGACCCCCCGATAGAGGTTTAGCTCGGAACGGTGGGTTGAATGCATTCCGGCCTCCCCTCCACACGGAAAATGTTGAAATTTGAAGTTAGCAAAATCGTTTTTTTCCCCTTACTATAAGTAGAAATCTGTTCGTTAAAAAAACAACAGTTTAAATCCCACATATTTCTTCTCTGCTGATATTGGCTTTCTTGACATTCTAACTTTCCTAATCTTTTACTAATCAAGCGAATCTGATGATAAAGTCTCCAGCGCAACACTGAAAAGCTTCGTCTCTCGTGCAGAGGTGCTGTCATTTGTAATCCTCCTTACTATCTGCCATATAATTCATATGATGTTAGTTTGGAGAATTTGAAATTGGATGAACCAATAATCCCCGAGTTGATATTAATCTTTACTCTCACTTCTTGTCTGCTTAATATTGTACTGATAGTGAAGGGAGAAATTCTGTCTTGGTCACTAATGGGACTTAAAGGGTTAACTGTACTGACAGCTATGTCTTCATCAAATTCTTCACGGCATTGGCGTCTGCAAAGTTGTTTCCTCTTCCTAAGATAATTATCATGGCAACAGGAAAGCTGCTGCCTAGTGTATCACTAACTACACAAAGCTAATAAGAGTGTAAAGTTTAGTAAAAATTATCTTTTTAATTCCATGTGAAATTTGTGCCATACCAAAGCATTTGGGTTAAATGCATTCGTCTTATCTCATTATCATTGTGACAAAATAATTCATAAAAAGAAAAAGATATTGTAACAAACCGTGTGCTATTTTCTCGATGAAGTTTACGAAGGGGGTGTAATGTAGGTGTTACACTGTCGCCAAGAACGTTCTTTTCAAGATATATTGTAATTTCTACCCTAGATTGCTAATAATTGCATTTGAAAAAAAAAAGGGGTTGTAACATTGGCGGTGAAATGCGCTTTTTTGTATTTTTTACGCTACATAATATAATAATGTAAGACTTAGAGTAAGTAGCGTCTGTTAGTAATGTAAAGTGTCAAAAAAGAGAAATATTTTAAGTAGCGTAACGTAGTAAGTAACAACATAAGTGACGCAACTCAATCAGTAATATAACTAACGTATCATCATTAATAGTCTTGTAAGTAAGGTAGCATAATCATTGGCAATGGTCAATGAGTATTGTATCGCAGATTGCATTAGTATTGTATTGTCCGCTTTCTAAATATTGTTTTATAAATAAGAATTTTAAAAAAAGTCATACAAAATTAAGTTCCTAGAACCCCGATCACATGAAAAGATAACGTCCAATAAACCATCTATACATCCACGTTCCTCAAACACGGTTGGTTGCCAGTAGCTCGTGTCAGTCCCGTGACTTCATGCGTCGGAAGAACAACACTGTTTCTAACTGCATTGTGGGAACTTCCACGCCGATAGCGAGAATGAAAGCTGCTGCATACGACATGACTATCACAGCAACATAATAAAATGCCTGAAAATAAAAAGTTTACGATTAGCTGACGCTTCAAGTTATTTTGGACGAAATTTTGATTGCGTTTTCGTTTTAAATCTTGTATGTTTTTAACTTAAAGAAATGCATAAAGTGAATGGTATTCGTTCCAGCTAGAAACGACTTGAATGGTGGCTCTCAAGAAGTATGTCTTATCATTATCTGTAGGGCTCTGCCCGTGCTTTCATTGAAAAACTTTACAAAATCTCTACTTAAAAGCTGTTAATCGAAAAAATCCCTTCCACGCTGTAAGAAGCGAGCTGAGAGAAGAAAGGTGGTCAGAGAAAGAGCGGCGCTCATATTATAAAGTGGTTATTGAACGAGTTAGGTCCGGCCAGACGGGACATCATTTGGCTCGAGGTCAAGATGTGCGGATCTAGCGCCATCAGCAAAATGTTTCCTCGCTCGGCCCAACATTACTCGGACAATATATTCCCGCTTTAAAAAGCCCCCATTTTGGACAGCTGGGAATAAAATTATTTCAAGGTTTCATTCTGATATAATTAAGGCATGCAGTTGAATAGGTCTTACGAAATCTTTATCGCTGTACTCCGTGGTGTGTTGGAAAGACCCAAAGTAAACGAAGAGAACGATTGGATGAAGAAGGTACGCACTGTAAGTCAAGCGGCTTAGGGGAATCCAGAACGATGCTGACAGAAACTTGTTCACCAAACCTACACATGAAAATTAAATAATCAAATGATTCAGTCCTTCCCCCCCGTCCGTCAGTTGATCAGTTTGTCAGTCAATCAACTACCACTTAATATGTTTTTTATCCGACGGAAAACGTTTTGAGAAAAACAACTTTATTTCTCTATTTGTTTGAATAGTAGAAATCACTTTATATTTTTCTTTAAGTTTCATCTTTATCGTATTTCTTTAGGTGGTATGGCCATGACTTGATGTAGGTAACGTGAACGATACCAACTAACATTTACGGATACAAATTATTAATAAAAAGAATGATGAATATATTTCGACCCCTTTCAATGACAAAACTCACGAGTTTGCTCTACCAACTGTTTCTCAGTACCGTGACTTCCTTCTGATTCTCTCCACTCATTTACTCATTTCCAGACCCTTCATATATTCTCAAATTCATTTGATTATCACTGTGACTTACGTGACTTAAACAGCGCTACATTTTTGATGACTGGAAAACATGTGAGACACTTACTTCCATAACCCTTGTTACACGCATAGATAACCCAAGCGAGGGCCAGACCCCAAACAAAGCGACTGAGGGTGCCGTAAATTATATTCTCAGCCTTGTTGAAAGGCCGGCCGTCTTTCTTGTAAGATGTATACACACCGTATACAGCTGAAACACCCAGTGCAATACTGAGAAACCAACCAACAAGGCACTCTACCTGTCTTGGAATCTTGCTCTGAAAGACATGAAAAAACAACATGGGATAATTTGAAAGCAGCAGTTAAATCCTTTTCTAATTTTACGAGATTTTAGTGTCGAAACTAGCCGGAACTGCTTAAGTGTTCTCATATTTCGCTGTTATTGGTCCAAAGAACTCGCGTCACTTTCTCAACCAATCAGATCAAAAATGAAAACCAATGGCAATTTTGTTACTCGCATGTTCCCGCGCTTCAAGCAGTTTGCTTGTTTTTGCGTGAAGTTCTTATTAGCTCCTTCTGAAGCTCTCCTTTCTTCTGATTGGCTATTGTGATTACTTTGGTTCTGGTTCAACGTTAGCCAATCGAAATGCGCTATATATGGTTCTGTTAAATACAAAGGGGACGTTCAGTCTTCTATTCGATTTTTTTTAAAGCTAGTATGTTAAGATTGCTCTTTACACCTTTTGCGTTGTCACCTACAATGTAATTTCCTCCTCGACCCCGGCTACTTACCAACGGGTTTTTTCCCGGATTCTTTTTTTCAATGTGAATCAGGTAGCCCAGGGCAATGCCCACGAGGTAGGGTGCGATGCGGCAGTACGGCTTTACATAAACAAGGTCAGTATAGCTACCTCTGCCTGACTTCTTTTCAAACCTAATAAGAATACCATAACAAATTTGTTAAACTATTTGCAACGTGACTGGAGAAGTCGAACAGAACTTACAGTCGCACTGTCACGACAAGAGACGAGCTCTTTTGACAATCAGGGACGTAACAAGAAGGCGTGTGCGTGTGCGTGTGCGTGAAAGTGTGGGTAATCTCTACAGTTATATTTCTGCCTCATCAAGGACGGTGAGCGAGTAAGTAAGGGCAAGACATCCGGGTAATTTGCTGCCACTCTAGAACAAAGTACTTTTCATCATCAGGAAAGTAACATGAAGGTGCATGCTTTAAAAAGGAGTAACATCTTCGAGGATATTTGGGGCTAGTGAGTAAAGAAGTCGTCTGCGAGATTAATGGAAATTTTCCAGTTTTCTTCAGTGAAACAGCAGGGACGCTGCTAGCAGAGACAACATCTTCAGGAATGTTCACTACTTCTTATCTACCTATGAGCAAAAATGAGAAAAATCCCATGGTTCAACTATAGCTAGCTCTTGCTTCTTCAGCTTCCCGAGCTTCGAGAGAGAAAACTCAATTAGGGAAACTCTCCGTAATATTTAAACAATGAATGCTCATCTAAAAAAGAGAACGCGTACTTTCGAACAAACTTTGGGACTGAATTTTAATGGATAATGCAGACGTCTCAACACTTCGCGGTCATTTCAAATGTTTCAGCAACATTTGTATTGTCAAATGTTCTGATAAGGAAATTTTACTATTACCGAACGGACTTCCATCCTTTTCCTTAGGTTTTTACACACCAAATTTGTACCTAAACGAAACAAATTTACAGTGGTTGTCAGTGGTTGTCTTACCCTTGTTGAATCTCACCAGATTCAAGTACATCCGTGTTGTAAACTCCAATGATCACAGCAGTGACCACTAAACTTGCTTGCAGAAGACTACCCAAGCCTATGGCAAGCCCTCGGAACTGGAATCTGACGACATGATTAGAAATATTACAAGCTACATTAACTGAAAATGCCAAATATTGCCTTACATCTACATTTCCAATATTAAAGACAAATCTACATATACTAAAATAAAATTGAATCAAATTTACCTGTAGATGATGTAGATTAAAATTGGACTTATCGCATAAAACTGCATGTCGTTAGCAAGGTACCACGACCAACCCAGACACTATGGAATGAAATAATCACCGTCAAACACTGCTTAGAGACATCTCCACAATTAAAACTGTCATGATGGAGCAGGTATATGAAAATGAATTAAAGAGCCTCGTTTTGTTTGTTTAACCAGGTTGACAAAGAGTCTTAAAATTCCATGCATTACTTAAGTAGAAGTTTAAAAGCTGGCAATTTTTTGTTCATCTTCCAATGAGTTCCACTAGAATGATGGTAGAACTCTGGTTTGTACACCTAGTCGATTATTTAAGGGTGGGACCTGGGTAACTAGTTCAAGTGGTTAAATACTGCATGGGAGTAGTAAAGCTAGCTGCACCCTCAACTAAGCAGTCCGGATACGATCTCTAGCCAGGTCACTGTATTGTGTTCTTTGGCAAGACACTTTACTTTCACTGAATCCCTTCCCGCCAGGGGTAAAATGGCCATTGATGAACTATCTGAAAAAACTGACAAAAATGCTATGGGCATCACATACAATGGAAAGACATCCATCAAGGTGGAGTAATGCTACTTGTGGCTTTATGCGGGCACCCACATTCAAAAAACCTCATGTAACTAAAAACGAAGTAATCTTGAGGCCTACTTTATTTTTGCCCCCGCCAGGATAATTGTTACAGTATACATTCAGAAGGCCAGCTTGAGCTAGAGACCATGATGACGAAACTTCTCATTGCATAATTTGTTCGTACATTTCATTTGCAACGCACTTCTACCCACCTCCTTAGCTAAGGTTTTAGGATAGAAATTGTTGATGTACAAAAGATTTGTCCACCAGTAATCATGACACGGTGTTTTTTTTTGGATCCCATACCAAAGTGGTCCCTCGCCAAGAAATGGAGTGAGATTGGCATAAAACAAAATGACGAACATGTAAGCCGGGGTTAACCTGCAAGGTGGAAGAAATTTATTGGAAGTAGTTTCATCTTAAATTTCAATAAAATAACCCTATTTGACGGGTCATCATTTTCTTTTAGGTATGGGGCTCTTCTAAAGTGCTTCGTGCATACGCTGGGTAAAAGCTGCGCATTCATTGATACAATGATTCAAATTGCTAGTTTCAGTGAAAAGGAAAGGTTGAGAAAATCTTAGAAATTGATAAGGCAATTAACACCATGTACCGTCGATGATAAAAAACACTCGTTGAATGAGCAGGCAATGATCAGGCTATGGCGGGGTTCCAGCAAGAACCATTTAAGTCGTTCAGTTGTCCAGTCGATTTTTTTTCTTCAGTTCAATACTTTCCTGAATTATTTGCCTGACTTCTGTTATCCAACCATTTATTTTGTCAAACGCATCGAGGCTTTAATCAAAACGCAACGAACGCAGTTCACACGAAAGCCTGAAACCTTTCGTGTTCGTTACATGCCAGGTAGGCCAAGCAAGTCGCGTGGATAATTTTTTTATTGTCTTTCATAATTGAACTTTTGAGCAAAGGCTAGCATAAAGATGCTTTTTATCGCAAACTTTTGTTTTGGTGACCAAAATTCGAAGTAGCGCTCTTTGTTCTAATTGAAGGTTCATTTATAATGAATATTTACATTACCTCCAAAATCGGTGAAAATAAAATTGAAATAATGGCAATCTCCCCTCATTCTTGTCCATGCGTCGAAAGGAAACGTAAGCCACGAGCACTCCACTGCAAACAGAACAATTTAACACTCTAGACCTTTCAAATAGAAGATGTGGGCCCTCAGTCAAATTTTTTCCTGAATCACGCCTAATTACGATCTTTCCCTTGCATTGCAATACAACATTTACACGAAAACATCTACTTAAGATCACGTTCGAGTGATTAAACGGGGACCAATACTATACATCATGTGTTCCAGTGATACCCGTTCTTGAAAAGGGGTGAAGGGGAGGGGTAATACCAATTCCAAGTTTTCGCAGACATAGCGAACACTCTTTGAAAAATAAAGGGGTAGGTTTCTAAAGAAACTGTGGTGCTGCGTCGGTGGGTGAGTATAGCAGGTAATTTAGTGTTAACAACTAAGTTTAAAACGTAAATTAGCCACCGTAAAGGGTAAAAAAGCTGACGTTTCGAGCGTTAGCCCTTCGTCAGAGCAATTTTTCTGTATTTCCTGCGAATTTCACAGTTCCTCCGATCGCTCTAACGAAGGGCTAACGCTCGAAACGTCAGCTTTTTCACCCTTTACGGTGGCTAATTTACGTTTTCAACTCAGTTGTTAACACTAAATTACTCTTTCAAAAAGAGTGGGATGTTCTAAACCAAGGATTTTAGGCACGGCTGTAGGCCACATTCTTTCCACAAAAATTTAGAATGGAAATCTGGGAGATTATAAGGTCCTAGATGAACATTTCAGCATAAATAAACAATAATATTAATATTTGTTGTACAAAGAAGTAACTTCACCCGTTAAATTGATTACTAGAAATTGAAGAGACACCTAATACAAATGTGTCTGCGTGACACTTGTTTAGTATTATACGATATTTCAACCTTTGTAAAAAGGTGGCCCTTTTGCAGTCTTGTTACAAATCTGAGATTAACCCTTGTCAGTTAGTTTTAATAACATTAAAGATTGAAAAAATTGACATATGGTACTGTGGTTCAAATCATAATTTAAACTTGTGAGCTGCTCTGAGAAAACTATCATAAGTACACAATAACAGGCAGCTGCAATATTCTGCAGAGGCTTGTATATGAACTGATACTCAATTATTTTTGTCTCAAATTTGCCTTATCAAATCATGAAAGACATTTATTTGTGAATTTACATGTCCTGACTGCATGTGACCACTAAGGGAGAGATTTCACATTACATTTATGATATGGATAGAGATTTTGTCTTACCTCAGAACGAAAAAACTGTCAACAGAGAAGAAAGCATTATTTACAGCTTGGAAGGAAAACCTGTGAGAAATGTTGAATGCTAGGGCCAAATCATCTGCAAAGTAATAAAAAACATATACAATGAAAGCTGTTCCAAACTTGCTGGAATTTTGTGGCATTTGTCTTTACGTACAACCTCATCCAAAATGGCAGCCACTAGAAGTAGCTACATGGTCTACAGTCTGTAAATAGTACATACTGAGAATTTCAAGTCAATACAACTCTTATATGAGAAATTTCAGTGCCAAATTGTTTATGTTTACTAGCTTCTTATAATTTCCAATAGCTAACCTACATGTAGCTTTACAAAATGTCTGTTACTTTTTCAAATTTTACATTTATTTTACATTTTGTTGCAAAAACAACAGACAGCCAAAGGACATTTACTGAGATATATGCAGTTGCAAGGAGTGTAAGTTGTTTCATATGTTTATATTTTTAACCAAAATTATTTCTTAGCTACACATGGGTTAATACTGACAGCTTTTTTCCTTGTTTTACAAACTGATCCATTTTTTGTGGGATTAATTATGCAATTATCACAAACACTACCAATGTCACTACAGCTCTCAGTGTAATTACCAATTGAAAATCATTATAGCCAGAGAGTTGAAATTTGACTCACTTAGTGTTCTGTAAATTATAAGCCATAGGTAGGTGTGGCCCATTATGACCCACCACATGCTAAGTACTCGTATTCCATTGATGGCTGAAATAGTCCCAGCTGGCACAGAACAGTTCATTATCTTTGTAGTGTTCCGTATTATTGAGAAACAAACCAGGAAACTGACCACAAATCCTTTGAGAGACAGAAACACAAGCATGGTCAATCAATAGAAAAGTAATCTTTGGATGAATACCCTAAAATAAGTTTTTACTTACTCAGCTCTTTCACTACCCTTTCACTAACCAACATCTCATTTCTCCTTACTGTCAGTCATGCAATTCTTATGAAATCATTTTGAAGAATTTGACATTGGAACAACTTATAACCCCCTAAATGATCATTTTTCTTTATTCACATCACTTTTCTGCATGATATCAAACTGAAACTGTAAGGAGAAATTCTGACTTGGTCACATCAAAAGGTTAAACTATTCAGAAGATATAAGATTATAAGTAGTCACATCTCTACCATAATTTCATTACACCAGGTGCTGGGAGTGGTTTGGCCTCAGCATAGTAGAGGATCGTATAATGAAACTCACAAAGTCTATTATAATTATGTTATTTATACCCACCTGAGAATCAGAGTTACTAATAAAATACTTTCACAAGACATTGAATTTGCAGTGAAAAGGAGTCATGGAAAATTTATGCCACCAAATCATACTGCACCAATCATGCATATCATAATTCTTGTAAGCAATTAAAACTCATACACATATACTAAAAAAATGTTTTTAGTGATGCAAGTCTTTTTTCAACAACATTTCCCTTATCATGCAAACCATATTTGATCTATTGAGCTTTTTGTTTGCATAAAGTTACTGTCTCTTTGCCGAGCATTTTTTTACAAGACACCTTGGCAACAACTTTTTACCCATCTCTCACCAGTCTGTTTGAAAGATTAGAAGCTACTAAAGAGCCACTACTGGTGTGTACAACAAGTCTTTGCCAAGTTGAGAAAAGGTCCCCATTGTTTGGGTTGATATCTAACATTGGGTTTGGTCAGCTGGCAAAGTAAAGCCAAGTTACTTTCAAAATGGTAGAACCTATCTTTGAAAATTAATGTTGGAAGATTTTTTTTTAAGTTTACATGTTTGTCACTCATTGGAATTTGAAGCCAGCAGGTAAGTAAGAAGTATTTGTATGCAAAAATTTTTAATGCCTTGGCTACCATAAAATTTATTATAATGTTTTTGGGTCAGACTTTGCCACTACATGTAGTTTGTGAATTTACCTCTATCTTCAATTTTTAAAGGTTGTCTAATCTGAATATTGGGAGTACTTGACCCAGGGCTAGATGAGCCATAAGAACTGAGTAATGGTGCTTCTTCTGCTTTCAGGTGGTGGGATAACCCATTGGGCAAGAATTCATCTTCATTTGAGCCACCAACTCTATCTCTGTTGTATTCTGTAGATGTGACCCAAAATTTCCACACCTGCTGCACCACAAACATGTCGACCAAAGTCCCCACCAAACACAAGGCTGCTATGATAACGCAGAGTACACTAATACAAGAAAGCAGCAGGATTACTGAATTAGCTTCATAAAGATCCAAGATCTGACTAAAAACAATTTTTACGATATCAACAACAAATACATTTAGAAATCAATACTACCAGCAAAAAATTCATTGAAAAATTCCTAGAAAAAGTCAGTGAACTATGATTCTCTCCCGTTTAGATGATAAATTTTGAAATTAAACTTACTGCTGGCCATTACTTTTACATCTTTTTGAACTATTGTCTTGACATGAACAAGATAGGTCTTATAGAAGCAAAATTTTAATTATCTTTAAAAACAAGTATTTAAATGTGCAGAACTTACAGAGTTATTATGGCTCCAGTAGTCCACTTGGATTTGTGAGCACAGAATACACCATCCAAGGTGATGTTTCCCGTAGGGAAATTGGGCAGATGGGGCAGATATTGTGACACAACTAGAAAACAAAAAATAACAGTACATGAGAAGTGATACTATTTTCATTAATAATAAATGAAAACAAGGCAATTTGTATCCATGAAAATTGCCCCTGTATATGCAGGACACCCAGTACAAGCTGAGGACCCAAATCGAAAATTTTAGGAATGTTTTCTCCTTTGTGTGATGCAAAAATCTGGTATAGTAAACTTTTGTTTCCAGAGGGGTTAGCCAGGTTCAAAACTCTGACCTAGTGTTACATGTGAGTTGAGTTTGTTCCTGGTTCCAATTTTTTCTTGATTGGCTGTCCCTGGGTTCCAATTACTGATTCAAAATGGTTGCAGTAGATGAGGATACAGTAGTTGTCACAGTTAAAATCCACATTCATTAGATTAAGTTTGTTATCTCTATCTAAAAAAGGATAGTGAGAATTTTTTTTCTGTATCTCATCGTGTTTAATCCACATAAACTTATATTTCTATAGTTAAGTTTATAAAGATTAAAAAAAGCTGTCTTTGAAGGATGATTTTACTCTCTGGAACTGGAAGAGAGGGGTTTTTCTGCAGTTTTTAGCCATGAGGGCAACAGTCAAAAGTAAAGTTGTCTGTTTATAATAGCTTTTAGTTCATGATTTAAAAGGTTTTCCAACATATTCCACAAGTGTATGTTTACCCAAAGTAAGGATATAGAACTAACCTTTGGTAATGATGCCAATACCCAAGGCAATATCCTCCTCAGTACAGGCAGACGGAACACAAAGGCCCCAGGAGACATACTATTAAACCAGAAACAGAACATCATATACTGCAGCCACTCAACACAATATAAAGTTCTTCTCATAGATACAACAGACTTCACTGAACAAGGAGTTGAGATTGAATTTCATGTATAGGTGAAATTCTACAACTTAATTTTCTCCTAGAGATTCTGCACTTTTTTTTCACATTGGCATCCTAAAAATTCTTTTGTTGCATATTACATTGATACTCTTAAGTCTTCCTTAGGTAGAAAAGATGGAGGGCATTGAAGATGGCGGGTATTATTGGAAGGCAAGAATATCCTATAACTGTTTTTCAGATGGGGTAATGATAAGTACTGAGAAAATGAGAAAACTCAAACTGACATAAAAGCTTTATCTTTGAGCCAACACCAAATTCTTGTGACTAATTTGCATTAAAAATGTGTAGCTGCTAGAGGGGATAGTTGGCAATCAGATCTTGGGAGTCTAACCCTTAAGCTCCCATGAGCAACCAATCTAGAATATCTCCTTACAATGTCAATACAATGTCAAGCATGCAAGAGATGAAAAAGGAGAAAGTTAGCACTATGGGGAATATCACTTGATCCAATACCAAATTCTCTAAACTAACATCATCAGAATTGCACGGTAGATAGTAAGAAAATTACTAATAGGATCCTGGGGGTGAGAGAGTTGTGGGTTAATGGACCCACACTACAATCAGAACAGGTTTTCTCCATACTACGTGTAACCTAGCCATAAAAATCAAGAGTTAGCTAGTAAGAGAAATGATATTTGTCATTAATTCATTATCTATAGCACAAACAAGTTGTTTGTTTACCGGGATTTTTGTAATATTTCCTCCAGAATTTATTGTGAAAGTGACACTTGGGGCTAGGCAGTAGTGTGCTCCAGGAATAGTTTTGCATCTTGCATAAGACCCAAGCCATACCAGGTTACCCAGGGTAAGACCACTGTTTGGTCTCCCCGTTGCATCAATATCTGACAATGAAGAATAAATATCAGGCATACTGTACCAGGTATTATAATTCACCCATTAATCTTTGCTTGATAGTACTGGCTATTTTACATCCCATTTTGCTTTCACACATGCATTTTTCACGTATTGGCATTTTTAATGTATTTGCATTTTTAACATAACAACCCCCACTTCTGTCAATATTTGTCCTCTGATTATTTCTGTCGAAAAGAGAAAAAGCCAGCAGAAAAATACAAGTGTAAAAAAGTCACCTTTCCAGCTACCAGCCACCTGAATAGGTTTATAACTGGCTTTTAGAATTGATTTTTGTGTTGCCTAGTTTCCTAGTTTCTTGGAAGTACTAACTTGTGAACAAAATATGATAGGGTACTGATTCTGGACCATACAAGTAGGCTTAACAGCCCTGCCACTACCAGGAGTGGCTAAAAGGGAATTTCTCCATATATTTGCAATAAATTGTCATACAGGAAGACAACGAGAAGAAAGTACATGTAAACTATCAACTCGCAGGATAGTGTTCGATTTGACACCGTATTCTTTGAGTTGGAATTACAAGAAATATATGGCAATTGGTGGGTAGGATTTCATATCATAAGCGGGGATTAAACTGGACAAACCATGATCGTATGCCAGCTCCAAGGTCACTATGCTGTGTTTTTGTTTTAGTTAAATATCGCGGGATTCCGAAGACTCGCTTTTTCCGCCGGAAGCTTCGAAAAGTCTTCAAAGACTCCAAACTGTGTCGGAAAAAACGCTACAAAGCTCAATCCACTCAGTAAAACGATACCAAAGAGTTTCCCATATTAGAGTTACGAAATAAGTAATTGTTACTTACTAAGCTCTCTTTCAAATACGTTTGCAACGATCTTAAATTTACTCTGGCAGAGTACCTTTCAGCTTTCTTGATGAATGCGATCTTCCCAATATCTTACGTGTGTAGAAAATGGCAAAACATTTTATCACCTACATTTTCCAATCAACCCTTGCTTGCGGATACCAGATAAGGCTTTCTGACATGCTGGAGAGATTTTGGGAAGTACGGTGGCGTCCGTGCCAGCATTCAGCGATGATGAGTAGTGCTTCGTATTCGAATACAATCCACTCAGTTCACGAACCGCACTCGCTCGCAAAGAGCTCGTTGAATCTAATTGTAAAAGGAGACAGAGCCCAAGAATAAAATATTGCGCCATTCTCATTTCCTTAACCGGCTGTAATGTACTGGAGAAGTGTTACAACAGGTCATGTCATGCTCAAGTTTAATTTCCAGTAGGGTAGGGTGAGTTGGCAGATTTGAGCAATACCTTTGATTCTATATCCAATCCAAAAGAGATATCAATTTTTTGCAAAAAGACTGAAAATTTTAAGAATGCTTAAAATAAATGTGAAATTTTATTGATTTTTTTTCAACACATATCTGTTAAAACTATATATAACTTGACAACCTCTCCTACCCCTCCCTATAAAGCTTCGTAGTACTCTTTGTGGTACTCAGTCCTTCTCCGATGAAGAGGATGACTAAGCATTTGTTTACTTTTAGCCTCAGGGAACAGCGTATGCACGTGAGTTAAGGAAAATTTCAGATATGCGCAGAGTAGGCCCTCTACAGTGTTTACTTCTCTCCTTAACACTCTTAATACTTTACCGTTGAATATCTTATCAAAACACGAAGTCTCTGGTAGTTTAACACATAAACCGGGAAGACTGCGAGGAAGTTAAAGATTCTACCGTTTTATTTTTTCCTTTTCGTCGACTAAGTGGTAGAAATTCTAATTTTTCGTACTGTTTTGTCGTTCGTTGCGCGTGGTGAAATATATTGACTGTATATTGACTGTAATGTACTCAGAGCAGTTCGAAAGTACAGCAAGCTCACAATTCACGAGGTAAGAATATAAATTAAGTTATCTTGTCACCCCTATCTTGGGGTGTGTTGGTGTTAAAGGGTCAATTTAAGCCTACTTTCAATATCGCCCACTCGAGATCGAGGGTGATCATGAACTCAGGTTTAATCGTCAACAGGAAGCAAGAACAATTTATCAATCATTTCTCGGGTTCTCGTTGGTACTTACTACGGATTACGGAGATGTTTGACTGGTATCGATTGTCAAATTAATGCTCATTTCTTTTGGGCACTTTGAATGTGGAGGATTGACCAATACACTGATTCTTTTTTGACCACACTGCATATTCAATAATTAGTATAGGTTCAGGTAAAGGTAGGTTGTTGAAGTGGACATTACAAGTTGCCTGTATATGTGAGAAAAATTCCATTGATGTAGATATATTTAATAGTAGAAGAAAAACGTTTAAAGGGGAGAGAGGATTCATTACAGATCAGAATGGTATTACTTATCTTTTACACAGAATAAGGAAAGACAGGATAATAAACTTGGCACATTTTTAACAGATCCAGTGTTCCACTCTAATTTATTACTGTTAATCATTGTACACTAAATATATGTAATATAGCATTGGCTACATCACTTTGCTTTGCCCTTCCTGTGCAAAATTTATGCTTGTTGTACAAGAACACTTATTCATATGACATGTTCTTATCACATCAAAAGTTGCATACTGCTAGTGATATGTTAAGTTATACATGTGCAACAGTATAATGATATAATCTACATTTAGTTAAATATTACATTTATTATGTTCTTAAACTGCTGAAATTAAGTGACAGCAATTCAGTGTTAGTTCAATATTCTACAAAGCTACAGTCGTACATAACAATTTAAAATCAGATACATTACAGCTTTGTATACCTACTGTTCATTTTGAATGTAATATTCAATTCATTTAATTCAAGATCCAATACAACATGATTGTACATGCATGTCTCAACTTTGGCACCTTGCACTTTACTTTACCCTGTAAAACCAGTTGCAATATTGCAAACCAAAAAGCTAACATGCTACATGTACATATACTAAGATATTAAGCTTTTTTCACTTTACTAACATGGCATTACAATGTGCTTTTACCAGGTTAGTTCTAACATGTTGTGTTGAAACATTAATCAATTATTAGATGTGTCTCTGTGTGTAAAAACACATACACGTTGAGATATATTTATTTCATGCAGTGTGGGTTGGTGAAATCAATTCTTATATGTAAAAATCTGAAACATTTAAAAATTACTGAGCCACCCCTCATGACTACTCTATTCTTCATGTGCAGGCAAAGGTGTAACATGTACAGACATGTGGGACGTGGAAAGATGAGTAGTTAGAGGCTGAAAGACATTTGTAAGATTTTGTAGACACAACTTGCATTCTCTTGGTAGATCATAAATTGGTAGCTCCTCCCCATAGTTCCACACCTTTAGTGCCGCTAGCTGCATGAATCTTGGAACTTGTCCATCAGGTGTACTGGTAACTTCCTCAATTACTGTTGGGTTGAATGACCTCTGTCCCTCCAGTGCAGATGTTCCCTTGGCGGAAGCCTTCCAGTGAAGTTTAAGTTTGCTACCATCTGCTTTTAGTGACTTAATCATTTCTGGTAAGTTATTGTTTACTTTCTTTTCTACCCAAGCTTTAGGGTAAACATCATTTGCTGTAAGTGGCCCATGTTTGCAGTTTTCTCTAATCTTGTTTAAGTTCTTTCTTGCCTCTTGCAAAATGTCTGTGGTGAGCATTTGGGTATATTCTTTCATTCTTTCTTCATGAACTTCACTTGCTGCTTTTGTGGTCCTGGTGTTGGTTTTTCCACTATGCAGAATGTCTTTAACAAATGTGATTGTGGCCTGTTTTGATAACTCTGACTTGGTATCATTAAGGTGCACTTGAGAAAGGTTGAACTGTCTTTCAGCAAGAACATTGTTAAGTGGAAGACTGAAAATGTGCTTGGCATAGAACTCAAACAGGTTTGGAGTGGCTTCTTTACTTATGAGTGAGCTCTGTGGTGATGAAGCAACTTCTTTGATCTCATTGAGCAATTAATCCAACTCTGTCCTTAGACACCAATGTGAGAATGTTCTGTCCATGTATATGAAAGAGATTGTTCACTGACTTTTCTTGTTGATTTTCAGATCTGACTGGAATTTCAAGAAGCTTTAAAACCAAATGCCAGAAAGGACTTTGGTATCTCTGATCAGCTCCCATTCCAAACAACTTAGGAAAAGTTAACCACTCTGCTCCATGGTCTTTGATTACTTTAATTGCTTCTTGTAACATTGGCCTCTGCACTTGTTTGTGAAAATGGTTAATAGCTGCTGGGTCCTTCAGTGACATCTTCACCTGTTGTGATGTTAAAGGAAAATATTCTGTAGGAGACATCAGCGTTTTGCTTAAAGTTTCATGGTGCTTTAGAACTGTTGCTGGCCATAACCTTGCTAGGTAACCACTGGAGAATCCAAGTTCTGCATGTATTCAGAGACGAGATGATAAACTTATCGAGGAATTCAAACAAAAACTTGATTTCAACTTGAATCATAGGACTGGAGCTCAGCTTAATGACATCTTGCCAAATAGTCTGGTGGCTATCTGATTTTGGCAATCTTTCAAGGAGACTCTCAGCGAGCTGTAAACAAGCTTTTCCATACTTAAGATACCACTGGAGAGTTTCATGACAATATGTCCACCTTGTGTCAATGAATGTCTGGGGAAGGGGTGGCTCTTTACTTAGAATACCAAGAGAAACATACATAACTTTGTATTGGCTTGGACACTCTGATGGAGCCAAGATATTTTATAGAGTAATTGTAAAACATGGGGGTTGCTCATGTCACCCTTGGCCCCACACTCAGCCTGGCACATTCTTCTCAGCATAATGTTTAGTACATGTAGGAATCATCCTTTAAAAAAATCTCTTTTTCAAAAATTCTGGCATTGTTAGCTAAAAGACCGTTTACTTTTCCCTTTTGGGTAGAGGCATTGTTCCCAACCAACCTCGAAACATTGGTAATATCATATTCATTTTTTATAACATGGTTATCTACATCAGACTGGTGTTTTTCAGACCCACTTGCAGTTAGGCTGTTTCCAAGGACATAAGCTCGTGGCTTGCTCTCTATGGGACACCAGGTGTGGACACCCACTACGTGCCTCTCCTCTCCTCCTTTGAAGGAGTCATCGCTCCAGAGATGAAAATCGCACTCGGAATATGAATAACTAACGAGAAAGATTTTTGTATATTCAAAATAAATAAATTTAAAACCCACGATATATTATAAACACCGATTGTTTTCAAGAAAATAGCGAAAAGCGCAGTGAAGCATCGTTATTATTCAACTCTAATTTAAATTAATGGAATTTTGTATCGTCTCAGTAAACCATGCAAGTAGGTGAACATAGCAATCAAATTTCTGGAAGAGTTTTAGCCTCCAGTGATTTATCGATAGCTTTCCACTCTAGCATTGTAGCAAACAGACGAGCCATGTTATAGTTGGCTATGTCATAGGATGTCACGCGTGAATTTGATATTGTTATATATTGTGGCGTTATGTAATGTGTCATGTTAGGTCGAGTGTGTGACATCATGACGTCAACAAAATCACATAACATGCGAGAAAAAACCTCCGAAATATGGTATCCTTGGCAATGTACTTTTACAGTGGATCGATATTGTATGATTGTAGGTGTTTAGAGTCGGTCTGATTATTTACTGGTTCCAGCACAATAAAGGACAATTTGCTATTTAAAACGGACAACATTTTACAGGAAATTCTGCTTATCGATCAATCACTGATCAGTCTTCATGTCACTTCCACCTTCAAGTAAATACGAACAAAATCATCCATGGTGTAATGTGGGAGCAGTCCAAAAGAAGCTTTATCTGAAATGAAGACCCCACAACGACATCTAAGAAAATTTAGAGGCTGGCTTAACGTTTACTTATCAAAATCAAATTTTTACAGAACGTGGAAGCATAATCAATTACAATTATCCGAGATTAAATTATTTTGAAACAATTTAAAACAACCGGAAGGATGGAGTTGTGATAGGAACGGTGCCTTTAGAAGAAAAAAGAAAATGTATTCAATAAAAAACGATATAATTATGCTATCTTAAAAAGATTATACATTTGATACATTTTTTTATATATATTAACAGCTAGCTTAGGCTATTCCACAGCTTCTTTCCCTAATTAGTGCATTTTCTTTAGACATCGAATTCTTGGAAGGAACACGAAGATGATCAGACCAACAAGCATGAGGGAGTGAATTTAAGTGTTCTGGCTGAAAGTTGTCCAGGTATTTGTCAACAGAAATGAAATGTTAGAAAGCGTTTATTTTCGGAATTGGATAATTGGAGAACGGAATCAACTAGGATTTGATCCCTTATCCTTTCTGTGAAAAATAACCGCCAACGACGCCAACTCGCTTGCAAGAGGCTGGAACCCGTTCCCTGCACTCATTGAGGATGAGTCATTTTATGCGCATGTATGGTGTGCACATGTTCATGGGGTGATACTGGTTTGGCGAAACTGAAAAAGGTAACGAAAAGAGAAGAATGAATGAAACAGGACGGTTGAGAAAGCCAGTTTTTTGGGAAAGTTTTTATTATTATTATTATTATTATTATTATTATTATTATTATTATTTAAGATCACTGTTATTTTCGGATAACAGTTGGAAGTGTCAGATTTAAGGGATACCTCTTTGAGGAACTGGTATGAATCACTTGCAATCACGACCTATTTTTTCATAGATGTAATGAAAGGTATGCTAAGGATTCAGAGTTCGAGTGTACGTCAAACGTCTTAATCAGCACGACTCGGGGACGTTTACGTACCTGTATATAGTCCTTTTGGATTATGTCCGAACTATATATATGTCATGGGATCTCGATGCAAAGATTTTAAGGATAAAATTCTCAGTTCGTCTACGGGACGGCCTTCTTGAAGCTTAAATCAGTTTGGTGCTGGGCAGTGCCACGCACGTTGACATGCGGTCATTTTTCTGGGTTCGAAGAAATAAAACAAACAAACAAACAAAACACATGGATAGTGTATAAACGACTAGCCTTTTAAAGAAAACTTCATGCTCAAGGTATTAAATTTGGTTCAGCTTTTATCACGGACACAAGTTTTTCATACCATGTGTCAATTTTAGCCTACAGCTAATGAAATAACACAGGACAGTGGAAAGTCACCCCTGACAAGTCATAACCCTATATTCTTATTAGGATTTCAGCACGTTGACACGTTACAGGTTGTTTTCGCCGTTCTTAAAAAGCTTCAATATTTTCCATAATAATAGCGTTATGGGCACCTGGCGGTTAAAAGGTTTACGGGGATTGACGACGAAGGTTATGTACCGGCTAAATAGTCAGCGTTCTGAGCGGCTTAAATCTCCCAGCATGTCAGTTGCTGTCATTGTTTAAAAAAAATCGAATGACACTGTATTTAGTCCCAACATACGTAGTTTGCTATAAAACGTTACAAAAAAAAGAAAGTTTTTAAACAGAGGTATGCAAAATTAATGAGCTTTGTTGTTATAGCTAAAAGGCAATTACAGAAAGGCATCTTTAATTTTTAATATTTTCATTGTTCAACTGGGCCGACTTTTTGTTAAAAGCGAAAATGTTATTAACGGGATGATAAATGGCTGACAGGGTAAATGACACTGCGTTACGGCTTTGTTTTTTGTCCAAAGTGCAGGGGTATTCTGTGTTATTGGAAAATTGAACTTTTCCAGTTGAGACTGCAACGTTAAGGAATCATGAAGTGTGCACAGAAACGGAATCAGAGAGAAATTGCTCCAAAGTCAACTGGTGTATCAGGCGAGGAAAAAAAGGTTTCTCACCTTCAAACGAAGAAGGAAAGGCGTGGAAAGGGAAACTCTTGTCGTTTGTCCTACGTTGAGGTTATTGCCAACGCCATTCTCAGCTCACCAAGAACACAGAGAACCTTGTCCGAGATCTACAGCTTCATTCAACACAACTATCCCGAATTCACCGAAAACAGAGTGCGATGGAAGAACACAGTCCGCCATAATCTGTCGCTTCAGGAATGTTTTCAGCGGGGTGAAGTTGCTTACAACAAGGGTGGATGTTACTGGGGGATTCATCCCAAATTCTTGCCCAATTTTAGTCGAGGGGATTTTACAAGACGCCCGCCAGCTCCGACTCCACAGATTGTAATGCAAAGGGGATATCTACCCTTCGAAAATGATCATTTTTCGGCACCCAACCAAGTCTTCCACTGCAATTTTTGTGAGCTGCCTCCCTCACTTTCATCGTATGGTGAAAGGATGATTCATGGCACTCGGGCTGTAAACGGATGTGCACCGTATAGGCAGCATCCCTATTTTTCTTGGGACCATTGTATGTACTAAAAATCTTTAGACCTCCATACTCAAATGGCAACAAACTCACAAGCGTGTATAAACTAAACGTATCAGCAGACATTAAACAAACTAAGAAAGTTAAATAGACTCTAAATAGTTTTAATTTGATGCTTAACAATCGCAGGTGCGTGTAATTGCGCGTTCATAGATTTTCAATGTAAACGAAACTTTGCCGAAACTGTAAGTGTTCATTATTTTTTCACATCCGAAACATCTCTTTGAAGTGTCGTGCGATTCACTCACTGCGCCTCAAGTCTGAAGATCTGCTCTTTTCCTTCGGTTCCTTTTGCGATTCTTCAAAGATGACGAAGGCAATGCGAAAAATCTAATCATTGGAGGCTACCGCTGATAACTCGAAAAGAAAATGCAATTATTGGTCATTGGTACGGTTGCTTCTATCACGTTCAAATTTTCAGACGCTGATGTCTCACCTCTTTTCAGGAAAACCAAAGGCACTCATTTAATTTATTTGGTCACTAATAGAGGATACAGCTCACTAAAGCTGAGCGTTTTGTTACAGGTATACATATTGCAACGCATTAAAACACAAGAAAAGCCGAATCAGAGTGGTAATTCCTTATGCCCCCACAGGGATATGCCACAGTCTTGAGTAACGATCGATTATGGAAGGGCTACTTTTGAAGTTTACGCAAAAAAGGGAGGAGAAGAATGAGTGAGAATACTTAGTCTGATTAGCACGCTGCTCTAAGAGCTTGTTGTCGTATTCAATAGTAAAGTAGCTTGCGTGGTTCAGGGCAATAGATCCTTTATCATTTACATGTGCAATACTTCAGTCTTGAAGTCCGACAAATTCAAACTGGAATTCTTTTCACATGCACCACCTCTCTGTTCTTTCATTGCTTATTTGTCCCGGTTGGGGGCAGTTTTACAGACGACAGTTCATTATAATTGTCTGTCCTTTAGCGCTTCGAGGGCTTATCACATGGACATTTTCCATTTCTAGCTAATTGTTTGAAAGATGTAATAAACAGGCAGATTAAGAAATATCCCCGCCTTCCTCCAGCCTGCTTTTAACTCTTCCCCTCAAAGACACACATTTACCGCTTAATTTTACTGGAGTCTCGGATTGAGATACTCGCCTGTGAAGTCAGCGAGTGTGCACCTTCTTTTCACTCCAGAAAAAAATGTTTAGATTGTGGTATTTCGATCTTATCCAGCCACGTTGAGAATATTAAGACAGAACATTTGAAGAAAATGTTAAAAAACGAAATGGTAGAACCACACAGTCAGAACGCCTATCATCAGCAGACACAGTGCAGCGACGAATGCTATCAAGAGAGGCAGAATACACAAAGGGAAACCAGAGAGGTGTTTCTTCTAGCAGCTAAATACTGTAATTTCATCCATTGTCAATGCGTAAAGCTCTATGACTCTCTTCTTGTTTGTTGTTACGCACCTGTCAATTCCCACTACGCGACAGCTCGAGACCGCAGCGAGAGCATGTCTCTCCACTAATATTGGTTTTCCGAAGAATTAATTCTCCCGCTTTGAAGTCTGGGAATGACACTGACACGTCATGTAACATAAATAAACTTGCATTTAGTGTAGCCGTAGAAGGTACAGTGGAAATCAACGCCGATTTTATTCGAGCGTGCAGGTCCATCTAATGGGGCGCAAAGACACCGAGGGAAGATCTGATGTAGAAAAATTCAGAAAGACAATTGGTGAGGCTTTTTTCCTCTTTTGCATGATTTTTTTCAACGACTGTTTAGTGGTGCGTAAACCCTCTATATATACTTCTTCCTCGTCGATAGCAAACACGGTGGCGCGGTGGTCACTCCAGAGAATTTTCATCTAATGAGAATATTACATGCTGTAGTCCACTGAACCATATTTATTTCCTCTGAGTTTCTTAGTTCTCGCTCATTTCAAGGTCAGTTTTTACTAAATGAAAACTGGACACAAATGTTGGCCGCATTTGGCGTTCCTGCATAAGTTGGGGTTAGGACCATGTTCTTTGGAAAATTGATTCCCAGACAGGACCTTAGCACACAGGACTGAGGACCGTTAGAAGCTCCCATCCAACATATGCAGATTTATTATTTTTTTGGTTGATTTACGTGTTTATATCATAACACACATGGAATAAAATTTCTTCATAACTGTGATTCATTATTTAGTAGGCAGTTCATGGGAATTGAGAAATGTTCAGTTAAAAAGAGTATCGAGGGTAATATACCTTGCTATAACACCAAATTTACTAAACTTAGTGTCAACGAAATGCATGGCACTTAGAAAGGAGGAATACTAATAAGATCTTAGGAGGTAATGGATACTGATAATTCTTTGTTTAAGGATTCATATTCTGTTTACCCAGTTGTTTAAAGAGCAGATATTACTATCAAACTGATAAATGGCTATCCAGTGGATAAGTATTAACAAAATGTACTGCTCTATTCATCTGATAGGAAGTTATTGAATGGATAGTGTTCACTGGTCCAACCTTTGAATTTCTAGGAATTTTTGATTAGTGTTGTACTTCCAAGTATTTATTTGTCAATATTCCTTTGTCACATCCCTTTGATATGAAAAATTAAAGGATAATTCCAATTCAATATTTATGGCAAGTTTAAGAATGCCTATGGGCCATAAAGTTTTAGAGCAAAAGAACTCAAAATAAATGTATTCTGAGTGAAGCTTCCTTGTACTCTTAGTGGGCTCAAATGAGTCCTTTCCTCCCTGAAAAACTATTATAGAGCTACTAACATGTTGGTATATCGTCTGTTCCTCAACAGAAAATATTATCCTGTGATGTGATAGCTATTTGCATTTTCTACCTTATAGTACAGGTTTTCTCATGCCCGCTACTTTGCTTTTAGAATAATTTAAATCCCCTAGTTATATTTATTTAGTCTTTGAATTTAAAGGCCTCCAAGTTTGGATCATACAATGCCTCTTGGTGTAGACATTTAGCTTATGAACTTGATTATGGTAGAACTGACAAACCTGATTAGGAAATTCATCAAGTTGTAAAGACAGTGTTTAAAGTCTCAATTAGCTTTGTAGGTGCACTGTTTGTAAATGCTCAAATTGGCTTCTTTGCAAATGTGTTTGTTTGCTTGTTTTCTTTTCCTAAAAGTGAATGAGAGAATGGTCTTGTTGACAATAATTTGTGGTTTATTTTAGTAATGAGTATAATTTCAAAGAAACTGTTTTAGTTGGTATTTTTAATATGGTCATTTGTCTCAATTTTTTGTAAATTTTTAACTTTTTTGTTATTTTAAACCAGGAAAACAAGAGTTTAAAGGCCGGAGTAAGAAGAAGACACTATCTATTCGTGACAAAGCTCAGACTAGGAATCACAGGGGAACAATACAGGTGAATATATTCTTTCCCTTGGATTTTGTATATGAATTGAAAAGGCTTCAAAATATTTAAAAATTTTATATACAGCGTGCTGAAGTTGGTTGTCAGGAAGCTGCTTACCTTGGCATGAAGAAGCAGTTTGTCAATAACACTTTTTTGGAAAACCTATTATAATTAATTCAGTGGTTGAGATTATTGAAAGATTCAATCCAATTAATTAGCCTGAAAATTAGGCCCATCAACATTTTCTTGTAGCTTAAACTCTTGAAAATTATGATATTTTTCATTTAACCTATTGCTAGCACCATCAATGGAATGGCACAATGAATGTCATGGTGAAGATGTTATTGTTATTATTATCATTGCTATCAATATTGTTTTTATTAATTTTACACTTTTGATGTTTTTATTGTTCCTTTTTTGGTAACAATCCAAATGTTAGACATGATTTGATGGTACTCTGGTTTACAGATCTAATGAATGTAACCAAAGATGTTACAATTCACAGACTCAACATTTCAACACTCCTGTCTAGTGCCTTCATCAGGGATGAACTTTACTATATAATACAAATGTTGTTGACAATTAACCATAGACACAATTCTTTGACATACAAGGTTCCCTCTTATCCTCATGTCGTGGGTTCCATGGGATGTGTCCCATGATTAGCTACTGAGTTTGGGTCAAAAGGTCAGAGTTCACTCTACATGAACAGTATTCCAATAAAAGACCCTCTGCTATTACAGATCCTCTCCCCACTGACATGTGCCCAAATATATACAAGCCAACCTTGCATTTTTCTTTAGCTTGCACAGGAATCTTGTAGCTTCAGTTTATTTCATTGTCTCCCCTTTAATAGATTGTTGTGTTATATCTACTTGTCATCCTTGCTGTCCTTGTGTTGCTGTACTTTGTATTTTACACTGTATATGCTGGCAACAAAGTCAAAAGCCACCACAGCTGACAAAAGCAGGACAGAAAAGTGTTGTAGCTGGCAGTGGTTGGACTTCAAGAGAGAGGTACATGACTTGGCTTAATTAATCAATGAAACTAACAGTTTCAACCTCCCATATTCAGTGCAGGTTTTCTTTAGATCATCCCTCTTTGTCCACTGAAGCAGTTATGCAAACTTGTGAGCTATAAGTAACATGAACCCCAGGGGGACCTGGTACCTCTGTTGCTGAAAATTGTTTAGAGAGATTCTCTTAGGAGGAGGAATCCTATCCGTCTATAACTAATGATACCAACTTCCTTGCAACCATGAAATGTCCCTGTTTTTTTGCTGCACCAAGACTGTAAGGAACTGCAAGACAGCTTTTTTTTTTTTTTTTTTTTTTTTCAAGTCATAACTCAGTTCTGTAGCCTGAAAGTGAAACAATGATACCTCTCATAGCTGCCAATCCAACAACTTCCTTTGTGTTACCCAAAAGTGACTAAGACCCCCTTTTCCAAAATTATTTGCTACATGGTAGGTTCCCCAGTTTCCAGACTTTCATTCTTAGTTTCTTAGGTAGATACTGATAGTCAATATTTCTTTGTTTTCAAGATTTTTCTCAGTCCCTAAATACTAGAGATTCTTGTTTTCATGGTTTCAATGAATATTGGGAAGTTTTCTTCTCTAATTTCTCAAGATTCTAGTCAGTTCCAATTTTTATATATTTATTTATTTTTATTCCTATATTTTACATTTTTTATTAGTTAGCTGATAATTGTTCGAATGTTCTCATATTAAACCTAACATTTCGCCGCCAACGAAATGTTTTCATCAGTATGGATACTTCACTCTAAAGATTTTTATTTTAAGTGTACCTTCGCATAAACTGCAACAAAAACTTTAAAATTTAAATTGCAAAAATAAGTATAAATCGTCATTGTGTTAATTTTCGGCATTAGCACTAAAGCAAAATAAACACCAATCTTCACACTTTCGTTTACTGCTTCGTTTCTCCTTCTTCGCAGCACAACCTCCGCGTGGCGGGAAATGAACCTCTATGCCAGCCGTGCACATTTTCCCGCTAAAAAGCATCGCGCGCGAAGCGGCGGAGACAACGCGTCTAGAAACCTCCTCTCCCCAGGCCTCGGGCCAAAGTCTTCGCACTTCTTCCTCAACATACATCAACTGCCTGCAAGGAATTTTTTTGTAAAAGTGAAGTACCGTGGAAGTAACTGGTCTTTCATCTGCTGTTGTGACAGTTTCGTTGATGACTGTTCTGGTGAAACCCCTGCGTTGGAGTTGTGCAGTCTCCAGTTTTCTGAGGACATCATTCACAGTTGCTCGATAGTCGTGGTTGAAAACACGAATTGCGATCTTCTCGCCAGCATTTGATTCTGCAAGTAATAACAGCTTTGATCAGTCTACGACAAAATCCGAGTTCAATAAGAAAAAGTCATACATATGGTCTGTACCAAAGCTAGGCAGAAGCCATAGCCATCGAACTCCTGGAAGTGAATTTTCAAAATACATGTATGTTATGCAGCTAAAAGAAAACGACGATAGATGAACGTATCAGGCACGTGGTGTTATGTTGATGTAACCCCCAACTTTTCCCAACTTATTAACTGAGAAATCTGCAGGAACTAAAAGATAAAATTGGTATTTTAACTCTGGATATTTTTATTAAAAGCCTATATCTTGCTTGAACGAGGACCAATGAGCATGTTGATTGTTACTTTGTGGTGACGTTTTGTGAATGACTGTGAAGACGATAAACAGAAAACAAAAATAATGTTAAATTTTCTTTTTACAACTTTGCATAGAAACCCTTACATGTAGATTGTCACGCTAATTATTGTTTCCAGTAACCAGAACACTTTGAATTGTTTTCACAACAGGGTCTCGTTGTTGAAACCCTTTTATAACCATTGACAGTTGGCAGGCTGCTGTAATGTTCTCATTTGAATTAAAAGAAGCAGCTCTTTGCATGGTTACTCACCGTGATCAGTCTGCCGTGAGCCTGTTGCAATTATGAGAAGACTGGAAACCAAAATGGTCATACACCACGTGATATTCTTCATTGGTAATGCTTGTCTGAATTACTGTAAAGAAGACAAGAAACAGTGAAGGTGTTTTAGTGGACTGACACGGTTCGCTGCCACACGGTTCTGGGTGTGTCACTCTAGAACAGTCGTGCGTTACTTAAGAACCTTGTGACCAACCAAGCACTTCGCCAGTCTCGACTGCAAATCGAAGTTTAATTTGCAACCAAGCCCACTATTTGGTTTTCAAGTTTTTCTTTAGCCGCCTTCAATTGGTTTCAACATTACGCAAAGTGTGTTTTTGCAAGACGAATGCGAGTTGTTTTGAACCGTCGCTAGCGATCGTTTTCGTCAATGTCGATTGAAGACCCTTTGTCTCAAAGATAGGTAATAACTATGCTTTATATAACCATATAACCATTTCACTGAATTGAATAGGGCGCTAATAATTGGAAATATCTCTAACTGAACTTATGCTAGTGAAAAAATAGATAATTATTACATATGCACTCCATTTTATAAATGCCTATCTGATTATGGGATCAAAAATCAATTCGAACGTAAAAAAAGACGAAAATTAAAAATTTAAAAAAATTTGAAAAAAAATTCCCAAAATTGTGAACTAGCTATATACAAAGCATCTTTTTAGCGTTTCGTTCGTTGTTAATTCAAAATGGTTAATGTGAAGACTGAAGGAAAGCTTTTCTTCTTTTTTTCCCATGTAGCTGTGTTGTTTGGCGCTACAAAATTGCGATTAGAGCTGTTTTCCTTCTTAAAAGTTTTCATTATTCTTATGATCCTTATCAAGAATATATTATTGTCAAGTACTAGAAAGGTCCACCACTGATATGAGACGATTTTCTAAAAAAGAAAGCAAAATCAAAACGATTCTTACGAGATTATCTCAATTTGCTTTTACTACTTAGCGAAGTCTGTCGCAAAATCGACGTGTAGGGATATGCTCCTTGTCTTCTAGTTGATTAAAATTTCGTGTGGAGCGCACGTTCTTCAAAAGCACTTAATATTCCCTACAATAGACAGATTACGGTCATAATAACACTGGTCTTACCTGATCTTTGTTTTCAACTTTGTATCCGTAAGGTAACGCTTGAAATGGAAGAACGGTGGAGGAAATTTATATGTTTTCGGCCGCCGTAATAACGAGTTCAGCCGCTTTGACAAAGATCTCGCTGGTTAATTAGCTGTCATTAATAAGGAAACGCCTGATAGCTTTATTATCACTCTTTTCAGAACTTCAAAGCCGCAATGGGCAATTTCCTTTAGAAAAATTAATTCGAGGAACTCAATTTAGGATAAGAGGTGATGACCTATTATCACCTCCTCCCAGAAAATGAATTTTCCCTAAGCTGCTGCAAGAGAGATCCTGTTTTTGCTGAGTTAATTGTTCGACGTCTTTGTTTTAACTCGGATTTGTTACAATAAATTACGTATTTTTCCCAACCAGAAAAAGATACGATAACCAAATGAGTGCGAACTTTTCGACGTTGTTTGCTTAACAGCCCTGATAAAAGACTCCATTGATGCCTTCCGTCCTGTGACGTCTTAGCACTCAAATGGTTTAATACCTCTATGGTTTTAAGCAGTTTTTGTTTCAAATATTTCACCTTTTTGGTTTGTTTTCTTTTTTTCTATGGGAGTGCGGTTAACGAATAACTATTTTACAACGTTACTGTAACACGTAGGAGTGCAACACTGCGGCCCCCAATGACCACAGAGGCTTGAGTCTATTATGGAAGTTTTTTCATTTTGATACTCATCAGTTTCGTTAATCAAATATTCACGAGGCGCATCCTGTTAGATTTTTAAAAACCTACGACTGCTACATTTATGTTTTTCTAGACTTCTACCCTTTCTTGAACGGAAGTCAAGAGTCACTGATTTAAAATGTAATTCCACAAATTTTTTTATGTCAGCGACATTTTCTAATCAATAAGTTACAAAGTCTGAGGATTTTGATTGCCGAGGGCGTCCTCTTTGTATAGAAATGCCATCTCTGAACACGAAAGATCTAAAGTATGATTGAGGATTTTCACGAAGTGCGGAAAACCGTAGGAGGTTATCATTATGGTGGTAATGAAGGCGAAATGTTACGAACTGGTGTAGGAGTTGTCTCCGTTGTTGTCGGTGTGCGTGGAGAAGAATAAAAATACCGGGACACCTTTGTGTGATGAATTTTTGAGTGGTCAAATGGTTCTTTCATTCTTAATAATATCGGAGGTTGCAGCTAAAAGGAAAACAAATAAAGCTGCATCACCACGTGGCCTTCTAACGGAAGATTTATTATTGCTGAGAAACACCTTATGAAGTTAATAACTCGTAACACAGTGCCGCGGCTGCCTGACGTGCTCCTGTCGAACAGATTTAGTCAAGTAGCTAAGAAGCTTTATATTTGCGGTCAGGTGTGTTTGTCGCAGCTGCTAAGACATAATCACGACTTGCATGACTTGGGTTTAAACTATATAGTGAAATATTAATCTTGGGCGTGTTACGTGGGCTTTACACGTCCCAACGTGAAAATTTTAGAAGGTTCCAGCTTCTAAGGCCTAATGTGACGTTTGAGTGTTTCTTGACGGTCCAAGTATTATTAACACTTTTGTGTTGAAGTGCCATTCGAGTGCCCTTCCATTAAATGGACTTCTAATTTGGATAAAAGCGATCAAATTCTAGACTCATTTGAGCATCCTTGAACTCCCAAGATCTCTCTTTTAGCTGTTAAATATTTCCTCGTTAAGAAAGAAAAAAAAATAGAGGGAAAAAAAGTGAAAAAAAAAATGATAAGATGCTGGTTAATGTATTGACATTGTGAGAAGTTACACCTCAATCATTTCTTAAAGTTGAATGGTTAAAATAGCTGACACGCTAACGAGATCATAGTAGTTCTTCCTACTGCAAAAGTGCAGTAAATAGGTAAGGTTCTCATAAACTTTTCAATAGAAACTTATGCGAAGAAATAACAAGGCCGTGTAATGTCTACCCTGAACGGATAACAACAACTTTATTCGCACTATACAAATACAGTTACAAGTTTATTAACAAAAAAGACAGTAGCTGGTCACCCAAAACAACCTAAGAGATAAACTGGCTGGTTAAGTCTTCCTATGTATTATATTCATCACCTAGATCAGCGGCGACGTTCCAGAACGATGCATCTTTTCGTGAGATTGTTTAAAGTCGTTTGCTTATTAAGATTATGAAATGGTTGCTGAAAACTCCCCTTTTAGCTCTTTATCCGGAAGAGGCTTCTAAGCATTCATCCAGAGTTGACATTCATCTCTACGATAGGTAACCTTGAGGATGCTACTTATTGACCGATGAGACTAACATCATTTTTATGTCAGTTCTTGCGAATCACTCGAATGGGGGTACTGCTGTTTTTTTACTCGTGTCTTCACGATGGTAAAAGGAAAGCCGGTCTAGTTGAGTCTGGAATTTGTCTCGGATTCCCACAATAATGTAGGAATTTGAAACTTGTAACTGTATTTGTATAGTGCGAATAAAGTTGTTGTTATCCGTTAATGGCTAGGTGTCTTCGAAAAATTTAGTGTTACACCAATTTAAGATCATCGATGCATATCAAGGAGTTTACCCCCTTGAAGCTAAAAAAAAGAGGCTTTTTCAACTTCCTCCAATTTGTATATTGAATTTTAAGATTATGTACCCTCATAAACCATGGAAGTAGATTCCTAGATCGCATATGTGTATGAAACAGCTCTTTTCGTGCATGTTTTACGCATCTGAGTAGAGAAAAAGTGAACTGGAGGTCTTGTGCATGTTCACGTGCTTTTTGCTTAGGCTGCGAACAATACGTCTATTTTTTAAGCCATTCCGGTAGAGAAATACTGTTAAGCTTTATTAAAATATATTTCGCCTCAGGAAAATGTGTTCAAGAAACCAGATTCAAACGATCTGAAACTGGGCCATGAGGAAAATAAAAAAATCACACACTACAGCCGACGCCTGAATACTAAAGCAATGAAAATGTGTTTGGGTTTATAGAACATCACCGAAAATTACAACAAAAATCTAGGATGAATCATTAAGAAAAAATTAAGTTAACAAGATTGTAACTTGTTGGTGAAAGTCCAATGTTTAGTACAAAAGAACCGCGAGCATATCAATGTATCATTTTCTCACGTACTTAAGGCTGAAAGAACACATAGTGAAGGGCAATTTGGAAAGACTACCCAATAAACGATCCTTATTCAAGCGCCATTTTTAGCAAGAACTTAGTGGTAACAGGTGGCCTAGTTCCTTGATAGTTCAGAGGGAAAATGTTGAGAGTACCTGTGGTCGACTAGTCAAACTGGAAGTGTTACTGAGACTGATCTGAATAAAAAGTACCAGCTAAAACATGATAATTGAATTAACTTGAAAACAACGAGGCTCCTTCTATGAAGTCGCGAGGCGTGAGGATTAGTTTTGGTCCCTTCCTTCCTTAGTGGTCTGAAGGAGAGTTCTGTGGGCTAAATGAAGCCAATGCATGCATGAAAATACATACAACGTAGGCAATTATAATTAATGCTAATACTTGAGAGACAGACAGTAGACAGTCTTTCACGTCATTGAGGTTTGAAGCGCCTTTCATGCAATTTCAGTTTGTTCAAATCCACCTATCTAACTAGAATCTGCCGATGCTGTCCAGCATTCCAGGGCGTCTCCGCGTAGTGTAGCAGTGTTGTGGAGATAAATTTTAGTTTTCCCGCCTTCATTTTCAGTGGCCTACGTCTCCTGCTTAACTGGCGCAATGGCTCAACTTAAGCGTGGTACTGTTAACCTTATATGTGATAAGTTGAAGTTTAATCAATTAACAAAAACATTGGACTGAACTGCCAGACTTTTTATGATACTCAACATCGGTGTCTTCATCTCCTCACTCAGCTAGTCGCGGTGACCAACAATAGGGAAAACAAATAAAGCTATTAAGCAGTTTTGGAGCGCCTAAGAAAGAAAGAAAAACGTGGCCAGGTGTTTAAATATTTGAGTAGATTATTTAAATTTTCATGTTAAAAAATTGTGGCTGATTTGCAGCGACTGTCTTGTAAACAAATGTGACACGAACATTGTCGTTGCAGACACTGCGACAAGAAATGTAAACGATACCTTGTAGTACACTTTATCAAAAGTCACTGGGTGGTAACGTTCGGTGCACTTGACCGCTCAATAAATTGATGACGTCCATGGACCGATTGCGGAGAATTTCAAGTTCCTGTTTGAAAATACGTCTACGTGGTTGCTATCGGTTACATAAGAGGTACGTCGAAATATAAAGTGTTCCGCTCTTTATGATGCGAAAATTTCAGGTTCAGCCATGAAGATCTTTGGATACCTGATCACTAGAAAATATTTTCTCGGCAATGAAGCCGGTGCAATGATATAATAGATTTTCGTCGACATATATCGACATATCCAATTTCCATTCCAGTGTATGTACTTTCAAACAAACTTGCGAGAGAAAAAATTGCACTGGCGCAATTCTCAAGTCGGACAAAGATACTCAATATCTACAAAACTTTGAAGGATTTTAAGTGGTGAATTTTTCTCCAGCAAATTTCTTTCACAAGTCCTCTTTGTTATCGGATGAGATTTGATTTTGAAGTGCGTAGTTATTTGGGTCTTAGTTACAACGATGAGATTCCTGTTTTTGTCTGCCTTGTCCAACTGCTATTACTGGACCCTGAACCCAGAGTTTGGCAGTCAAAGATTGATTGTTTGATCGGAAGTATCAAGTGTGTTATTGTTGCAAGACTAACCCTGACTCCAGAGTTCCTGTTTTGGCTTTTGCAGTCAAACGCTGATTGTTTGATCGGTATCAAGTATCAAGTATCAAGTATCAAGTGTGCTGTTGTTCCAAGGCTTGGAGGAATAAAACAATATAAATCACATTGAGGTTGAGAGATAAATAATTAATTTCTTTTGTTTTATTTCTCCTAGCTTCGGAACCATGTTAGAATTTTAATGTATCGACAATGACCTGTTCAGTTGACTTGCATGCACACTGGTGTACAACAGAATAGACCTTTTTAAAGTTCCCGGCGCCATATTGGATTAGTAACCGTGCACGCACAAAACCCAGGCTGGCGTTGACCCGGCTGTTCTTTCAAACAGCTGGTCTGTCGACATTTCACGTTCTAATGCACTTTTCAATGCGATTTCTCCCTTTAAAATGGTTTTTTTAAGACAACAATATGAAAATTTCGTCATTAGAAGACATCCAGAAACCCGAAGCAAAAGATCTCAGGGAGAATTAAAATCTTATTCAAAATCGACGGGCGGATTTAGAGCCGACTTAGTGTCGAAAGTTTATGCTTTGCTGATGTGACACGTCCTTCCGTCGAGTAGTGGAGAAAACCGAGAACTTCTTACAGACGTCCAGGACCTAGAACCAAACCAGAGCGACTTCAAATACGAAGCAACGATGGTAAGGATTTCAGCCCTATCAAACTTGGCCACAAACAATACTGCCGGAATAAAAAAAAACTATATTGAACTTAAAACAATTCAGGTACCTAATAGAAAATTTTTTATTAATTTTGCAACAATAGTTACCCACATTTATAATTCACAGAGAATAAGATAAGTATAGAACGATAAATACTTAGCAAAAATACATGCCTCCGTGCATAAACTTGAAGAAGTGAAAGCTCGTAGGCAAACCATTCGGGCCATAAAATGTATTTGAAAAACCAAACGCGGCACACTGCTTTCCTTTCTTTTTGGGAGAAAAATGAGCTTTATCAAGATTTCGGCTAGGACTATCCATTTTCCTTAAAAATCGAGCAATTTTACTGCCCACGTACAAATTTCACTTAAAGCGCTCATAGAGATTTAACACGAAACAACCCCAGCTCGCTCTCACATGTGCGCGTTTGCATGTTCAATATGGTGCTAGGAACTGTAAAAAGGTCTATTTGGAGTTAGTTATTATCAGTGTCAATCACCCAGTGGGAGTTAGTGTTAGCTAAATAGTGATCGAAGGAAAGTGAAGTGAGGAAAGTGAATATGCTGTAAATAGAAGTCAGCGGAAGTTACAGCCGCCGGGAAAGACCTAAAAGGAAGGTCTAGAGTCCATGGCGCATCCACTATACGCTCTTCAGCTAGTTTCCCCCAACTACGCTGCAAATAACGGTTATGTTTTACATAGCATAGTAAACTGTAGCACTAATCCATCGAACCGCCATTTCTTTCAAACTTGTAACGATTAGCATAGAATAATCATCGTCGAGGCTTTCATACCACTTATTTATCACGAATATCAAATGGTTATAAATGTGAAGGCGAAGAGAATTCCGTGTTTTCGCGGCCCTTTTCTGCCAAGAGTAATTCTTCATACAGTTGTAATTAACTGTCAGACAAACCGATAAGGTATGTAACGAAAATCATCAGAAGGAAATATTGCCAAGATGTAACACCGAATTAAACAAAGAGGGTGAATAAGTTTTCAGACCTCCAGATTGAAAGTGTGAAAAAAAAAAAAAAAAAGAGAGAGAGAAAGACAATATTTACACATCACTGATGAAGTTTACGAAGCCGCATTCCTACCACAGAGTAAACGATGGCCAAAAGCTTAACTGGTTAGGTTACAGAAGGAGAAGTTGAAGTTCGCGGTTTTGGACAATTTTTCTTGCGGTATTTCGCTGATTTTAATCTCGAATTGCTGTATATTCCAAACCTGCGGGAGCGGCAGTGTTTTAATATTTTGGGCGGTAATAAAATTTATCATTCCTTCACTGTTTTCTGTTTTCCTCGATACATATGTCGATTTTTGTACTTGTTCCTTTTTTTCAGTCTACAAAAATCCTTCTGACGTATTTTAGACTCATATGTTAGCTTAATGGTTATTATACCATTTCACACATTACGCAGATGAAGGGAAAAATTTTGTAGATCACACCTCTTGGGGTTGTAATTCAAAAAAGTTTTTGTTTTTGTCCTGTTTTGTTTTTTTCAATGTTTCCCAACGTCCTTATAGAATTATTCCGCTGGTAAATCGATAGGAAGTACAATGTCCCTTTTGTTAGTGGTGACATGTTCGTGTTAAACTTGACTTGTCAAGTGGCACATTTGTGCTGCACATAATTTCTCTGAATAAGCGTGCACGCATTAAAAAGCGCCCTCCCCCGAATCAGCGTCACCCCATCAGGCCATTTCAACAAACAAGACCCCCTCTCGAAATGGTTCTGCTCCTCCCCCACTTTCCTAAATAGTAGGGATGCAAGGAAACCTGTTTTTATTCCCACCTTAACAACAGCGGGATCAGTAAAGGTTCAGTAATAGTTTCTTGATAAGTGCCCCCCTCGATTAAGCGCCCTGGTTCCAATAAGAGCCTCTCCTTTAAGCCGAAATTCTAAAAATGCCCTTAGGCGCTTATTCAAGGGAATTTGGCATGCTCAGTGTTTCATAAGCAGATGAAAATTTAATACAAAATTAAAAAACGCAAGTGTAAACAGGTCGGTCACAGACTAGACAATTTGTAGCTTTTTGTCAAGATTTAGGGTCAGAGGTCAAATCTAATATTCAAATTGTTTTCGTAGCTTGTTTATCTTAATTCATTTTAATATATAGTATTTGACATGTTTGTAAATTTCGTTTACCTTGCCACCCGGAGTCAACGCAAAGCGTTTGAAAATTAAAATACCTTTCCTTTTTTCGAAGATTTTCGTCATAGAGTTTAAACTAAGAGCGTTTTGATCGATATTTTTGGCCAGTTTTTTTTTGCAAACTTTTAGTCGTTTCACGTGGTTCATGTGTTTCAAAGATGTGCATTTGTTATGAAAGCGTCGTAAATGATCCACATTTGATGCAAAATAGCCTTTATTGTCCATATCAGGAGCTTAGTTGCCTGCCTTGTCTTCACAGTTTTGACTCAGCGTGTGCTTGGCAAATAGATCTAATTAATGATTACATTTTTCAGTTTTACATTTGAAGCTTCTAAATGAATAGTTGACAATTGTCACTGATCTGCTACAATACTATCATGTTTTTAAAGATCGATGTACTTTTCAAACTAGTCAAAAATCAGTTGAGGTTTAAGTGTCAGCTAATGCTAAAATTACAATTTAACGGCCGGTTTACTGACTTATTGACGAAACTCGGAAGCAAAAAAAGCAATCGGGGTTTTTACAATGTAGCTTAATTCCACGCTTTACAACTTTCTTTTTCTGTTGACAAGCATTTTTGGGAACATGAATTTCAATTCCGGCGGTACATTGTTGATTTTCCCATTTTTTCATCAGTGCTTCTTTTCGAACTTGGTCTGAAACATCTTGTCCCCAGATACCAGGCATACTTCTACTTAATTCTTCTTCGACTTTTGTGATATTGTGGCAGGGGACGATTTTCCTATAGCGGATGATGAGATGAAGTAATCCTTCGTCTGTTTGGGTAGATGTTGTTTTACTGTAACCCCGCTCGATCAGGGCTGCTCTGCTCAATTTTCTCTCTATTTCCTCTTGGTTAGCGGTGTAACTTCTGTCAAAAAATCGTATATCCACCTTTCTTTCTGCGGTTATACCTTTTGAGAATTTACAAAGAAAGGATTCTGTCTCAAAATTTTCATTAAGGAATTTCTAAAGGCATGCTTATAAGAGGTCATACTCACTCTACGTCTAACGAGAAAAAGCCAGATTAAATTTCTGTTTACAAGTGTTTCATGTCAAAATTATGGAATCGATAGCCTAACATTATTTGAATACCATATGACCCGTGAACAAGGTATCTAACGGGAATAAATGTTGTTGTTCATATGATAAAAATCTTTAATGTAGACCAAAATTCGTTATTTTTTTTATGCAAAAGCATCTAAGTTGATCGCTCGATCCACATAGGCGATGAAGTTACTTATGTCAGCTTAATAGAATACCCTACATCTTCTTGATCTACAAAACTTTACCCCATAGTAGTATGTCCTGATAAATATATCATCAAAAAAAAACATGTCCGCCTTTTTAGCCGAAGCCAAAGTGATCAGCCAAAAACCAAATGAGCAGCACATTGCGCCAATTTCGAAATGACGGCATTCAAACGTCCAGTGTCTCAGAATCTACAGTCTCACAATTTAAGTTTGAGTGTTACATATACCTTGCATCATCAACGAAAATCTACCACGTATTACGATTAAGCCGAAATGATTGTAGAACCAAGCACTCTGTTATGATCTAATTTAAGCTTTGAATATCTCAGAATCAAAAGTTTGACAACTTAAGGTGTTAAATATACCCTACATCATGAACAAAAACATACCTTGTATAGCGGCTGAAGCCAAAATGATGACGAAAATGAGTAGCATGTTTCGCCCTCTTTGAAATGATGCCGTTCACTGCTTCAAGTGACTTAGAATTACGCTTCGACAACTTTCGATTCGTTTAAGTGCCACGTCGGTGTTTATGTATTTGAATATTTATCAGTAGGTACTCTATCCAATAATGTGATTGAGGAAGTAGCACAATAGGAAGTCTAGATTCTTTTAGTTGGAGCTCTACAAGTTGCAATTGGTAGACGTTATTAATGTTCCTCTTTGGTTTACGTTTGAAGTACGTGATGGTTCTAATAGGACGTCACTAAATGCTTGATGCCGAAAACTTGACACAGCTTGACCTAGCATTTAATTTGGAAGAAAGTATGTCGGTGTTGTACTATGGACAAGTACAACATAACCTCTTCACAACAGTTACCTTTGAGACAGAATAGAGGGGAAGTAGAGAAGTAGTCGTTTCGATAAGATATGGAGTGTAACCTTAACACCAAATATTCCTGAAGTTCAATACCTTTACAATCAGGGAAACGAAACTATAGAATAACAATAATACGATGAGACTGAAACTAAAAAAAAATAATAATAATAAATATATATATATATATCTTAAATTTTTAGACCATAAATATCGATAGAACTAAACGAGTATGCAGGCTTGCACGATTTGCGCTTTCAGAGCTACAGTCATTTTAAATGTTCATTGTCAAGAGAAAGCTCTCCGGCAAGGGTTTTCTGTTGCCCTTGAAGAAAAGGTTACCTCTGTACAGAGCTATTCGTTGGCGATGCTTTCATTCAGCCTTCTATTCACTGATATTACTTTCGACATCACAGCGAACATGAAATTACAGTCGGTCAACCAATCGTCAATCGATGGATCAAATAATTAAATTAGAAGCGCGAAATGATAATTTACCCGCGTGACAGTTTGCCCATCACACTTTCAATTATTACAAGTTATTAACAGTACTTATTTCCCTCACATTCGTTGGCGTTGTTATGATCGTGAAATACGACAATGCAGCCAAACTTTCTCCGAGAAAAATCCCAGATTTCCTTAATTTCGTTTTCTTTTTCGCATTTCCTGTCCAAGAGGAGGAAAATTGACCATATTTAGCTTAAGACCGCATAACTACTTCTAGTCGTGAATTGACACGTCCGGTACAGAGTTCGCTTTCCTGTTTTTGTTGAAAAATACATTTTATTACAACGTAATTATGAATGGGTTGGTTTAACAAACTTTGTTGAAGACGTAAGGCTAGATGTAAAGACAAACAAACAAACAGGCATATAAAATAAATAGAAAATGATACATAGGCGTGCGTACATAGGGAATTTTTCGTTCAACGTGTATGAAACTATTGCTAAATGAAAGGAAACGCATCTCCTCTCTGTGATCATAACTATGTCTCCGCTATTTTAAGCTTCAAGTTTGAAAAAATGTAATCTAATCTCCTTTATATTATGAATTATGCTAAACCTAGTAAGAGAAAACGTCGTTAGAGTCGAAATAATTGCTTAAAAGGTGTACATAACCAATATAAATGTGCTGCCAGAGTGTTTTTCACGTTCTGACCAAAATTTTCGCTTTCCGCTTTTCTCATGGAGGCCGGAAGACAGTTCGTCAAACCAGAAACGGAATTGCGCCTGTCGAATCTTCCAGATATGAGAAATTCCTCAATCCCTCTAACTGACTATTATATTATAGGCAAGAGATCTTAGGAAGCTCTACTATGCTTTTCCGATCGAACGCTAGACTATGAGCAGTCCCTCCTTTTCGGCGAAGTCCGTCACAGTGAAAAAAAAGTTGTTGTTAACGCGCGTGAGTGAGGCGCTCGAGCCCCTCGCTCACGGAGCTCCCGCGGCGCGTCGATTTCCCTCTTAGAACTCTCCGCGGCGCGCTAACGTCAACATTTTTCCGCTGTTTTTTTTTCTTTTTTTGACTCGCACCACGGCTGCTCGTAGTCTAATCGAACGCAGGTTGTTATTGTTGCTCAATCCCTAGATGGCTTTTCATATTAAATCTTTTTAGGGTTACGGGTATTGAAAACTAATTCTTAAATAACAAAACAGTCGATTTTGTACGGTCTCGGTTGAATGTTTGTGATAGATTTTTAGAAGAATCGGATGATTTCAGTATTTATTCTCCCGTAATCATGCACCTCACCAAGTCTTATGACCCCATCCCTCCCCACCCCGTTTCATCGAGCTCTTCGCTTCCTCACCGTAGTATACAAGGCCGTCACTTGATCGTCGCGCTGCGTGTTAATGTTCTCCCAAAATATGCCCTTGTTGTTTGGATACTCTGTTGAATCCGTTGAAAAAGCAAAGGAAGAACTTCGGAAGAGTGTGACAAGAGTTTACGGAAAAAAGAGGGCTTTCGTGCCTTACGATTTACAGACAACTTAATTATAGATAGGTATGCGTTCAGATATAGTGCATGTCTCTTCGATCACTAAGTTGGAACTCATGAAGTCTGTGTGCTTTGTGCTTTGTGCTTTCGATGTTAATTTTTCTGATTCAAGCTGTTATTTTTGTTATAGCGATTGGCGAAGGCGTTGACGAGGCTTACTATTTTTTGTCTGCGCCTTGTTATCTATTTGTCATGATTTGACCATGAAACTCAACACAATGGCGATTATTTCGATTCATTTATGATTTCAGTCAAAAGCTAAAGGTCGAAACTTGACCTCTTTAAATGTTCAAAATAACGCAGACACGGATTTATCCTCTGAGCGGGTTATGAGGCATGCATTAAAACAAACGGTGGAATAGTGTATTTAACTAAGAACATTGTATCAGTAGGTTTCTTGTAAACAATATCATCACAGATTATTATGAAATGAGTCAAATCCAATCTTTTAGGATTTAGCACTTCCTATTGGAAATGTAACTTAAAGATAATTATTTTAATTCATCACTGGATCATTTTTTTTCATTTCTCTTTTGTTGTTGTTGTCGTCGTTAATTTTCCCTTTTTTTGTGGCTCTCAGTTCTCAAGTTGGTCCCGTGTGAAGGCAGCATCCCCTATTTGATAATCTACTCCCCCATCTCTGTTTGACTTTTTCCATTGCCTGTCCATTTAGCATTGAATCAAATGTTGTTAACCAAAAGTGATTAACAAGGAACCTCTCCTCGTAATATCTAAACATCATCCAGCAAAGAGGTCATAAGAATACTTAAACTTATCATTTACAAGCTGTTATCTTGATCTAATACAATATTCACACAACTAATTTACAAGGAAGTATGTAGCAGCTGGAGAGGAGAATTATCAATCAGATCTTGGGAGTTAAAAGGTTAACAGAATCTACGTATCGATGACTCTGGAGGGTGAAAATATGAATCATAATTCATTGTTAAAGGGATTATGGCAGATGATGGACAACGGGCAGGGGGAGTTTACTAAGGTGAAGGTTCAGGGGCTTGAAATGAGTATCCCATCACTAGATTTGTAAACCTTCAAACAAACCTTTCCATGATTTCTCCTCAAGTGAAACATACGTTTGATGTAGATCTTATATTGAGACGAAATACTTTGGTTGCTTGAGAAGATCCGTTCACTTGAGATTTGCAACGACTTTTTTTTGTACAACCATCCTGGTCTTGGGAAAATCGTGTCATGGACACTTGAAAGAAGGCTGTTGCAAGAGGGATGGTACTAAGAAAGGTTGCGGTTTAATCATGAGTTATTCTCTCTGAGCTCATCAATAGTCGCTCATCGAGCCTAAGAGACAGTGTCACTCAAGTTCAAGCCGTTTGGTCTCTGATCGATCCATAGCAGATTTTGCTCATAATAAGGACTAAAACCCTAATGTTTTCTTCAATTGCCGTGGTTACGAGTATAAAAACCCAACGCGTATAACAATGGCTGTTTATAAAAGCTACAATTTTTACGGATGAAAACAGATCCATTTGAATAACTAGAAAATATCGAAAAATAATGGCGTTAAATTGGATGACCACAACAAACAAAAAAAGTTATTTTTACTGAGAAAAAATGTGTTGTTAGATACAATTGCTCAGATTCTTCGTTTTCCTTGCAACATCTACACCTTTGATGGTCTTTAACCACCATCTTGGAAACACGTGAAACATGTTTTCATGACTTGGCACTGTCATGACATTGAATAGAACTATGGGTAAACAGTAGACTTTAAGAAAAGCAACAAACTCTTACAGACAAAGCAGTGGCCGCAATATTGTTTCGTTGCGTTAGATAGGTTAGCAGGTTTTAACTTGAAATTGGCGCACTTTTCAATGGTTTGATTTGCTTTTAGTTAATCTTCTCATCCAATTGTCTATGCATGACCACGAACATTTTAGGGAGCTACTGCGCCTATAAAAGATACACACGAGGGACTTTCAGGGTACACATTAGTAATTAAAGAAATCTCGAAAATGTCACAACGAAATAATAGCTGAGTTCAACTCGGCAGCAGATGAAGTACACTTATTTAACCAAACGACTCTTTTAAACGATCTTTAGATATCAATTTTAAAAATAGCGTGAAGTTTGAGTAAGCACTTAGCGTTCTGTTTATTACGGTGCTTTTAATAAAATTCCCGCCATTTTTGCGCCGTATTTCATAGACATGTACGGTTCAAATTATGAAACAGAACTCTCTGTTCGATCACAAAGGGCACTCCTAATTAGGCGCTTAACTGAGCTTAAAGAAGCCGTCTCCTCCTGTGTACCATTTGCTGAACAGAATTTACTCTGTTTTTCTGCCTCTTGTTTTGATGAAAATATTACGTGCGTGATAACATGAAGGTGGTCCATCATCAAACATCTTTTACCTCAAAGTTAATACCAAGCGGATTACCATCATAAAAGGACTTCCTTCACCCAATAAGAGCCGTGCAGTGCATGTGCACAGAATTTATGAACCAAATCTCCTTTGTCAGATAGAAGAGAATTTAATATGGGAACCAAAGTTAGTGTCAATGAAGTTGAATAATTCTATAGGATGGTGTTTACACTAAAACAAGTGACGAGATTATTAGCACCCATTAAAGCTCTAGGTTGGTATTAGGTGATGTTTTAAATTCATTCTTTGGCGACACGTACAAAAGTGCAATTCGCCATGTGTTAGATATATTGTGAAATGCACTTGTAAAACTCGTAGCTATAGCTACCATCCAGCTCCCGGCGTCCAAATGACTTAAAATAAATGGATTTTAGACAATACTGAGACAAAACGAAGGCCCAAAGATCTGTGTTGTATATTGAATGAGTACTTATTGGTTTTGTTCAGCCTCCGGGGTGTAATCAGGTACCATTTATCACCAAAGATCAAATAAAAAAGAACAATTATTGTCTGCTAGTGTGTGAAATTTTCCGAAAAAAAAATTTAATTTGTTTAGATTGAATTGAGAAAACTGGAGATTTTTCGAAATTAGCTACCAATGATCTTACATATATGTTCAACTACCACCGAACCTCATTTGTAAGACTTATCTTATTTATTGCCATAATGCTTTTCAATTGCTCACCAAGTATGTATTTATGCGTTTACCTCCTTTCAGTCTTGAAGTTGTGCCAATTTAACAGATGATAGAGGCTCGGTTTTTTTTTTTAATTTTTATTTTTATCAAAAGACCAAGACCACTCAGGTTACGTCTTGAACTTTAAATTAACCACCTTTTTGCCGTTCCCATTATATCTTTTGTTCTATTATTTGTGATACATGTGCCGACGATTTTGTTGAGTGTGTGGAACTCAAATGTCGAGAGCACCTGGATGACAAACCTGGAAAAAATTATACGTGGGTGCATATACCGCTTAAAAGTTAGTTCCGCGTGTTCTTCTCATAATTTGGCGATGGCTTCCTCTTGTTCCGTTGAGCATTCTTTCCTACATTATTTTCTCGACACTAGGACAACAGAGACGGAGAGAGGCCAAATTACTTAAATTAAACCTGATACGAAATGCAATCAAAAAGCTAATGGTCAGTGGCCCATTTGATCTGTGTGATATAATTTCATGAAAGTTTTGACGAGCAACTGTTGTTTGATTTTTTTCACCGTCGAAATTGGCTGGAATCTATCGTTATTACTGTTTGATATCGTAGTGAATTTAGAAACCTCGAAGCGTTGAAAATTTTTGTGTAACTTATCGCAAGGATTAAATCTTTAATGAAAAAGCAATAAGATTTCCTTTAATGTACAGGTTTTTACGGGCAAATTAAATGTTATCGCAAAGATTAAGTCTTTAATGAAAAAGCCTTAAGACTGCCTTTTATGTACAGATTTTACGCGCTAATTGAATATTGTACAATGGATTCTTTCTATGGCAAGCAGACGTTTTTCTGTGTTGCGATTCAAAGATTAGATTAAACGTTCCCCGCCGAAACAGACTCTCATATCTCACACTCTTTTTTATCATTTTAATTTAATTTTGGGCCAAAATGCCTGCAGGACATAGGTAGTAGGTTAAAAGTTCATGTGGAAAACGTGGTTAACAAACCCCAAAAGACTCAAATTTGGCCAAGTGTACCCTTTTCACGTCCATAGTTTTGACTTGGAACCAAAGGAATGGCTCTATTGACATACGGAAGGCTTGTTAAAGCTGAAGTGCAAACTTCTTTTGTTGTAAATGTTTCAGTGTTAAATATCTAAGTTGAGAATGCTAAAGCACGTGGTTAAAGCAGCGAACATGATAACAGGAAGAATTTTCGCTGCAGGAAGTAAATGTTTATATTCCGGTCTCGGTTTCGAGTCGTGTTAAGCATGTGTTGAGTTAGCTTTTCAATACTCTGCAAAATCGATGAATGAAAATTACTTCATCTAGCCGCGTTTTATGTTATTTTTAAACTACGAAAAGCAAGGCGCTAATTTATGATATCAATCTCCAGACAGCGGTCCGTCTTAACCAAAAGGTCTGCTGGTTTTGTTCCTTCGAGGAAGAACAATGCTACAAATTTATTCGTCTGTGATTTGTTTACGCGTTGAACTTCGAGTAGAGAGTGTATGAATTTCTGTAGTTTATGAATGATGGCAAATTGTGAAGACGACTCCGTTTTATTTTTCCATGTCTATCTTGAAAACATGTTATTTTTATGTTTGCCACAGCTCAGTAATTTCAGAAAACCTTGGCAACGACATACCATACCTTCAACCTTATTTGCCAAGACCTGCGCTAATATTTCCACGTGTTACCCGTATGACAAATACTACGGGCCATGTTTAAACTGAATACTTCTAAACATTGAGGCATTGTGCCTAAAAAGATTTGATCCCTTTTTAAAATCATCCATAGCGTCCTAACACACAATTGTTTGAACGATATCCTCCTTTGATATAATTGCAATTAATCTCTTTTTTTATTTTCATATAAGTTCACATTACCACTATTCAATATCGTTGAAAAATGAACAAGAAAATGGCTTTGTTCTTTTTTAGGAAGGTTAATTTGGGGTACATAGCACAAAGCCGAAGAAATACCACAATTTTATATTGAAAGCGGAGACCAATTCTGTGAGGTATATAGGTACTTATTAAGTCGACGAGTTTATTAGGCCACACTTTTGGCTTATTTTAGTCAAAACAGAATGTGCCGGTATCATTTCGCGATAAAAACCTAGGAACGGTCCGATATCAAGAAACACAGTTTTGTATGAATCCTTTTGAAAAAATGTATCATTAACGTTGTTTAATGTTCAATTACCAAGTTAATGGATCATTTGCCTCCCATCGAAATCATTTAAGTCGCTCTATAGTTTGATTTATTAGTCTTTTGGAGGCCATGTTTCAGCAAATGATTGGAAAAGACAAGTGTTTGGAGAGAACGGCTCAAATACAAAACATCAACAACACAAATTCAAAAAACGAGCTGGCATTTGCTCTTTTACAGACATTTCAATGACAGAGTCCGCAAAATAGACGGAGTTTAACAAGGATGAATGTTGCGTGACAAACTTGTCACGATTGTCTAACAGGCTGAGATGTAGTTTAGCGACTTCTTCGCATTAAAGTTCTTTTTTCATGTTGATATGTTTGAATATTGCCTTAAAATTTACACTATATAGGATTGTAAAGTATTTTGATCATTTAAAGAAAAAACTCGTCGGGCCAAATGGCAAGTTAGTTACACTGCGTAATGGTGTGCTAATGGCAATTATAGCATTCATTAAAGACCCAATTCATTAAATTGAATATGTGCTTTGTTTGTTATGCAGAAATAACACACGCTAGCTGTCAAAGGAAGTTGTGTTTAATCTTCTTCTTTTTTATCCAAAAAAAGCCTAGAGAAGAGATCTCCACAACCATCACTATATGAAAGACTCAAACTAACCCACCCAAAACTTTTATTTCGCTATCTGACGACTTTAGAACTACAACTATAAAATTGATAAGACAGTTGCACCTTTCATACTTATATTGAATGTAAAGGATCCTTCTAATTAACCCTACTAGTTGTGAATCATCTTGACAAAATATACTTAAGGTCTGCAAGTTTTGTCGGAACATCGTTATTGAGTTCTTTTGTTTTCCAGAGCACGTGTTTCATAGGCTGCGAAATGGTTTACGTTATCATAAAGCATTTTGTAAGTTTTCACTGAATCCTGATTTCCCATGACAACAGTTTACAAAGAAAAATAATAGTGTCGATTTTGTACCATTTAAAGAGGAGATCTCTGTAGAAAGAGGAAAACCGAAATTAGTTTAGATGCTAATTGAAAATTAGGAAAAAAATCGCTCTTTAAAGCCAAATATTGGCTTTCTCTGTTAACCTTGTGTAACATAGACTGATTTTAACCTCAATTTAGTAGACTTGCCACTCGTTTTTAATGATCGTATGCAAACTCCCTCTGAAGTTAAGAAAAGCCTTTTTTTTTTGTTCAAGCATTTAATAGTTGTGTAATTTTTAACTTGGTCTTGTATAATATTGTAGTGATGGGGAAGTTATCTTTTCGCAGTAAGCTGTCCAGCAGACCACGTGTTGCTTAAAGTCCCATCAAGAGCGGCCCTTTGTACCACGAGGTAAACTAAGTGCGGGATGTGGTTTTGCTGATGTTCTATCTCGACTTGAATGACAAATTAGCTTGAATTGCGGAATATAACATGCTATTCGCCTCTATTAAGAAGGCGTTTTTGACTGTTTGGTTCTCAAGCTGGCTAAGTGAATCAGCTTCAAGACTACTCCCCAGGAAAACCTTTGTACCCTAATCCTTGACTGAGATTTAGCTTTAAGAATTCTCGCCCTTCTTAGTACTAGTATTGGAAAAAAAGAATAGAAATGCTTGGCAATAAACGCAACTGTGTTTATTAATTAATCTTTGAATACAAAACGGATTGTCGTGGATTTTTTAGTAGCCTCGCGATTAAAAAAGACTAACAACAGACGCCTAAAACATCAAAAAAGCACGCGACCTAAAAATTTGTGACCCATGAATCTTATTACTGACAAAAGACGTTTATCTATTTACATAAATATAGATTTTCATAAGGCAGAAGAGCATCTTTGTGGATGCTGTGTATCTGCTGTCAGTCTCGTCCATTTGGAAGGCAAAAACCCTATTTCCTTTTTACAAAATATTATTCTCATGCTAAGGAACACCTTCTTTTGTGCTATGTATTACATCCGTGATAAAACTTAACAAAGTCGCTCGATTACGTCTTAGCAGCACCGTGAAATAAAGCCTTTACATACAGTTTTTCTGAGGAACAAAGCCTTGGGCGTCCAAGGATGTTTTGGAGTGTGTTTCTTGTTTATGTAGGTGCGGCAAACTGAGTTTAGAAAATCCAATTGTTCCAAGGAAGCTGTGGAAGTTGCATGTATTGTAGTCCCCTTCCAGAAAAATGTTGCGGCAAGGCAGTAGAGGACAGATACAGCTTGGCTGGCCCACAAATGTAACAACTGCATGAGGTAACTGGACCCATAGGAAAAGGATTTTCATATGAACTTTCATACCTATGTTCCAAAGAGGGTGATGAAAGCTGCGACAACTTGTGTCGTGAAAAATCTCCCCGGCTGAACTCGCCTACAAAGCCTGGATGTATCCGCCAGTTGCAGCCTTTCTTATTGAAAGCCACTTCCCCGCGTACAAAGCAGTCGTGAAGGGAGAGGTTATGGCGGACTGTGTTCTTCCAGCGGGCTCTGTTCTCTGTAAATTGTGGATGGCGCTCTTCAATGAATTGGTATATCTCAGACAAGGGAAGTCTTTGGCGTGGAGAACTGAGAATGGCATGTGCTATTACTGCTACATATGACAAAGCCGAAGAATTCCGCTTTCGCTTATTAGGTTTCCTTTCCAATGGCATTGCTGGACTATTACTGTTCAACAGCATGCTTTGCCCCGGCCTGTTTTCCATCCTTTATATGTCTAAGCGTTATCTTGCAACTGCCAAGTTCCTTCCTGTATAGCAAAGTCTGTGTTCACCAACGGAGCTAGAGCTGTCCTGTTATATATGATGATTGAAAGCACGTTCCTTTTGTCTCGAAAACTAGTGGTCAACCAATGCCTTGTCACAGATTTGCTAAATAGACAAAATCTCACTACAGGCACTTGATGTGTTTTCGCAGAATGTTGTTATAGTGGAACAATGCTCTTGAGAGCCCATAATTAGATGGACGAAGTTGGTAATCTTGCGCTCATCTTTTGTTTTGGAAATCTGTCAATTGTCTTAGAGATATTCCAAAACCATGTCAACTGGCATGTGACAAGCACCTGCATTCCGCTTTAAACTTAAAGTCATTGAGAGTTTTGGCAAGAAACACATTCCGGGTTTTTCTTGAGTAGTCAACCGATGCTTTGTGAATTATCCTTGTTGGTATAGAAAACAATAAGCATTAATTATCATTACCACATTGTTAAGCGTCATAGACGCAAATCAACATCTCGACTATATTTTTCCGTGGTACTAAGTGAGTTGTTTCGCTATATTTTCAGTGGCGCTTGTGCTAGATTTAATGAAGTGCGTGAAAAAAACGAAAAGCAAAAAATTAAAATGTGAAATACTTGAAATGTTTTGGTGCAGTTTTTTATGTTGTATGTGATACTTGTATCCATATATTTTTTCAGAGTACTATCTGAGTGAACAAGGTCGTTCTCTACAGCACGAAAATACTAATATCCTGCCTGGGGCAAAATAAATTAGCAACAAAACGCTTGGCATTCAGAGGGCTTATTTTTATTCTGATAATTTTTCCGATTGCTGTTATCCTATCTGAATGAACTGTGGATCCATATATTTGTAATAACTTTATTGAAATATCGAGGTTTTTCAAGCAATAAACTCAAACAACGTCTTGTCGCATGTATTAAATTTTGAATAATTATTTCAATTAGGAAAAAATTGCTAATTCATGGTTGATTGCGCGCACACGCTAACTTCTGTCAAGGTAAGGTTCCTGTAAAAAATGAATTATCTATCGAACTGAGTTACCGTTAAAATACTTTTACAACGTTTCCAAACATTTTCGGATTTGTTTTAAGTCTTTTAACGACGAAACTAGGTTGTTAAGGTATTATTCAAACACTGAAGAAACCTTAAACTGCATTAACTTCCCGAACACCTGTTTTAAGCTTGAGCGGGTCAATAATATAAACAAAATTGCCCCCACACTTTGTTCCTGCTATCATCACGGTAATCGTTTAACGCAGCCATTACAGGTGTTTATTAAATGAATACCAATCGAAAAACGTAAAAGTTGGCAGGGTAACGCAAAGAAACGCAGGAATTTTCGGTGAAGAAACTAAGCAACGGCTTACGAGAGCGTCTCTGGAAAGAAGTTGCAATGTTACTATACTTTTCCGTTTTAGTTTAATGTTACCCCCTAGTTCTTTGTTTATCTAAGCAAATCCACTTTCTTTCTATTTAAAGACGATTCTCTACAGCGTCGTTTGAAATTCTTCCAATTATCGTGATGTAGATGATGGTATACCTTGAAGATAAGCTCATCACTCGTTTACGCTAAGGGATCTCTATGAACGGCTATAAAGAATTAGCATTTTAGGTTTACATGCGATCGAATTTGACAGAAGAAAGAAATGAACATCGTACTTTGTTCTTGACACCATTCTTTCAAAATATTGTGTCGGCAAATAACAATTGGGTTTGCGTTTCGTTTAAACTCTGACACATTACGAATCATTTCTTCCCATTAAAAAAAGGATGACAACGTTGAAATTTGACATAGATTGAAAATAATTTGCTGAGATGTTATTTGCCTCTGTTTGCGTCAAATTTTCCTATATTTCAGTGCAAAGGATGAAAAGAACGAAGAAATATGGGACTTTTTCTTTCAATTTTAGAGTTTTATTTCAGATAGATAGGAAATCCTTCCTTGTGGTGTTATGCTGATGAGGTATGCTGTGTGTGGAAACCACCACTGCGCTGATCGTTCATGCAAACACAGGCGGCGCAGAATTTCTCTATAGGAGCTCATTGAAATTGAATTTTACCGAAGAACGCAAGGAAATAAAAACCAAATGCCTCGAAATGCAATTTGCAACGATTGCAGATGACAATGGTGAAATATAACCTATTCACACAAGCAAAACATATTTAGTTAAACTGGGTTTAACCGAAGGAAAATCAGAAACCGAACTGGAAAACCGAATTTTACTTAGGATATAAGTAATCAGTAAATTGTATTTTCAATGTTCTACATTTTATGTCGACGAACATCGGTTTGAGCAGCTTTTATTCGGTTTTAAGCAGCTTTTATTAAGAAAAACATTTTGAACCGGGGTTCTCCACACAGCTCGAGAGCATTTTATGCTCTGGCGTGAATGCCGTATTAGCTGGGATGGATGGTAAGGTATGAGCTCGGTGATCGAATTACTTGAGTAAGATACTCGTGAACATTAGTCAACCCAAAACTTTTTCAGTGTTAGGAAGAATCATTTCAAACTAAAACTAGTTACTTTCATAGGTACTAAGAACAAATGTCAATGTTATTAAACTAAACTACAGCTGCAGATGTCTTCGTAGAAACACTGTGCGCGACTGCACGATGGCGTAATATTCGATTGCCTGATGAATCGGTCTACCACCTTACTTACTTTACGCCTTGAAACTATTTTTCTCTTTTTCAGAATACTTTTGGTGTCTTCTTCGCGCTCGAGGAAAAGTACAGGTCTTCTTGTTTCTTCTTGAATGGAATTGTTTTTATCATGACGGATCGCCGAAAATTACACTGTCAACGAAAACGGGTCACATCAGAACCAATAAACATCGTTTCGCAGTTAAATGAATAAAGGGGGTAAGTTTCTTAAGAAACTGTGGTGCTGCGTTGGTGGGAGAGTATAGCAGGTAATTTAGTGTTAACAACTGAGTTGAGAACGTAAATTAGCCACCGTAAAGGGTAAAAAAGCTGACAACAGGGGTTTATTAATTTCCGGAGTGTTTTTTAATTTCCGGAGTGCGAATTTTACGATTATTTGGCTCAAAAGTCCTTAAAGTAAGACTATTAATCGCAAATGGCATTTCTAGCGATTAATAGTCTGAAAGCGTCTTCTATCACGATTAATAATCGTGGTAATTACGACTATTAATCGCGTACAAACTCATTAATAGTCGTGTTTGACTGGCTTTTAGACTTAATAGTCGTACATCGCACGGTTAATAATCGCATCTGACAGCAAATGTCCTTATTTATCGCGAGGAAACGTGCTCTTCTCCAAAGAAAGTTCAAGCTCAACCTTTTTTTGAACGGCCGCCACTACAACCAAAAATTCAGAATTCAGTATTTCTTCGCACATGGCTTTTTAGGCAATAAATGTCACATATTTGAAGTTTTCTCGGGTTCAAGTTCTCAGTGAACTTCATTTCTGTTCAAAAAATGCGTTTACCAACAAAGTTTTCTTTGTTTTCACTCTTCCACGAAGTACAGCGCGGGCTTACGGTGTTGTGAGAGACGTAATTAGCATTTCTTCTCGATGATAATGTACACAAATACGTTAATTTTCGACAGGTTCGATTAAATTGAAGTTTAACCGAGAAAAAATACAAACAAACAGCCAAGTAAGTCGAAGTACGTCAAATTCTTCCCAATTACAGCTTCTTGTGAAGCTGGACGTAAGTTTACGAGCAACCGACAGATGAAAACGGCAGCGGTGAAGAGTGCCAAAGATGGAATATGGTAAAATTTTTTCATGCTTGGATAACTTGCATTCCCTTGCACTAGTAGTCTTGGATATGGAGAATTGGAAATTGCCAGGCTTAATCAATTGAAAGGAAGAAAAAGGCAATGTTTAATTGATATCCTTCCCCCGTTTTGTTTTGAAGATACGTAATCCTAGAAAAAAATGCATTGCATTTATGTTGGCGAAGGAGAGAGAAATATTTGAGTCGCGACCAAATTTCTCCACGCTGCCAGACTCTTTCCAAAACTAGTGCGTTTCCGAAATGGATTCTTCAAGGGCAATAGGGAGAGTAATCTAACAGAATGGAAAAACCATTTGCAATTTTTTTTTGTGAAAACGTATTTTAGAGTTTGCAATGTCACGCCGATTCGGTGAGATGTTTGTTTTGTGATGGCGATATTTATTTAACGACAAAATATAGTCGTTTTTTACCCGCAACTGATTGCAGGCAACAACAAGAACGGCTTTCCTTCATTTCTTTAAAAAAATAGCTATACTCTTTCATTCAATAATAAAATAATAAATATATCTGACAATAGTGCGTGACCGTCGACTCAATTCATCGCTACGATTGTTTAGATACGAATTATTTAGATCAGAGCACATAATGTCGCATGGGTTATAATGTTTTCGAAACTTCTTTAATTGATGAGTTTGAGACTACACATACTAGAAACAGTCACAGAGATTTTGAGAGTATTCTTTCAGTTCATCGCAATAACCAAATTGACTCTTCAAGTTGGCTCTTTCCTAACCGCGCGAAAATCATGTTTTCGCGGGAAAAAGTTAAAAAGCTTTTCAGCTGACAATTGTCTGTAAGGGTCAGATTTGTCTTTAATATTATTGTATAACTTCGTACCTTTGTTTTTCACTAGTCTCTGGAGCAGTACTTATGAACAACCACGTGTAGATTTCACCAGCTATCTCGCGTATTAAATCTGCAACGCCCCTTCCGTTTTCCGTCGATCGCCTCGATAAAAATCAGCAATCCGTCAACTCGTGTATCCCCATCACCATTTCAATTATCTTCGACCACAATTTTACGTCCCTGCTGTCTCCATAATCATGAATGTGGTAAAGACACCTTAGAGATCGAACACATTGCCAAAAGAAAGAGCTTCCATGGTGATCAATTGAAAAACTTGCTGTCAAACCTTGACCAATCACAGAGTGCATTTTGCTTCCTACCTTAATCGTGTCTAAAGTATGAGGGGCGATGGA